GATATGATAGTTTTTGATGTAGGAAAAACCGGTTAAATTGGTTTAAAATTACTTCTTAAACTCATGAACTTTTGGGAATCATTATAAACTTATGGTTATGTAATGTTGTGAAAGTCGTGTTTTAAAACGGATAAATCAATTCAAAACCACTTGTTGAACCGTTAAACCTTTGGAAGCCGTTTGGATATGTAATCTTGTGAAAAGTAAGGTGATTTCTTTAAAAAGTTCAATTTATTCTTAAACCGGTTTATCAAAGTACCCTTAAACCGTTTGGTTCAAATCTTTTGGTTAAAGCGAACTTTTGTTTGACTTTAGTCTTGTTAACAATATGAGGAGGGTTTAACTACTATTTTATGAAAATTTTATAAATGTGACATTTTTTCCTTTCCAAATATAATTTTGCAATGTAATTTTTGCATGACAGATTTTTGACCTATTTTAACAATAATTTTTGTAACAATTATTGCATGAATGAATTTTTATAATTATTATATATTTTCACTTTTCACCGTCTACTTTTTAATAATTTTTATATTTTTCAAAATAAAGGGTAAAAATAAAAGAAGATATTTAGAAAATAGAGAAGAGGTTGGAAAGATGTTTCTCTAAGAATTTTTAAGAATACATCCTTTGAACCGGTTCAAAAGAAATTCTGAACATCTTGAACCTTTGGGAACCATTTTAAATTTTTGGTTATGTAATCTTTTAAAGAATATGCGAAATTCTTCTTTGAACCGTTTAAATCGGTTCAAAACCACCTCTTGAACCTTGAAGCTTTAGGAAAATTTTTAAAATAAAAATTTGGTCAAGAATAGGGCGAAGGAGTTTTTCTTTAAAAAAGTTAAATTTTTGAGATGAAACCGGTTTGATCAAAGATCCCCCTAAACCCTCTGATCCTTTGGGTGTCCATTGAATCTTTGGACTCTGACGACGGAATGGATGAATGACCGTTTAAGAAGGGGGAGGGGCTAAATGGTTGGACGCCGCTGCCCCTGACGACTTGGAGGGGTGACTAACTACTGAGACACGGACTATTTTGTAGCAAATTTTATGGGCCTTTTAATGGGCCCAAAAAGAAAATTTTTTTAAAAGCTCTAGGGGGTAAAAATATTTTTTGAAGTACTGTACCCCCATTTCCCGTTGATTTTTGAGATTCTAGATCTCGATGAAGAAAGTTGGTATAGACTTGTTCTTTTTACTTTTCTACTTAGTATCCATGGAAATGTTCACACAAATTTTTGTAGAATTTTTGCACCAACTAAAGTAGGAAAATACAAGGTTATTCAATTTGTCCATAAACATATGACGCGTTAAAAATAGGGGTGAAGAGATTTAGACCGGGTTCTAATTATGCTAATGAAGGTGGATTTAAATGAAACTAAGGTATTTTGTAGCAAATAAACTGGGCATTTTGACCACCGAATTTTATTATTGATTTATTCCTATTTAGTTTTGTTAAGAGGGATTTTACTGATAAATCTTTGTTGTCCATAAACATATGACCACTACTGTACATATTTAAAATAATTAAATAAATAAATATTTTTTTTTAAATTTTAATTTGTCTCCGGCATCGGGGGATGGGACCGTAAAAGAGCTTCAGAAGCAAAAGGATTTCCCTTACACAGCAACATAAAACAGGCAGAGGGTGCAACCAGCCTTTCAGTGCGGGAGTATGGTTTAGTTGGTTAGTGACAGCGAAAAATGCACAAGGTTCGAATCCTTTCAGTGAAAATGAATTATATAATAAGGAAATCCTAATAATATCTTTTCTAATTAACATTTAATGTCATTTTAAATTAAAATAAATTTTTTCAAATCAATCTTTCCTTTATTTTTCATTTTCTAAATTTACTTATAAAACCATATGTAACTTTTTTTAAACATATTAAAAATCAATAAATTTGGTTTTAAAACAAAGATAAGACTTTGTTTAACGATTTGGCTAAGTTGAAATTTTTTTCTCAAAGTTTTTTTTCGAGATAAAGCTTCTCGAAATTATACATCAAATCTTTAGAGAAATAGCATGCGAAAAAAATAGAGCGATATAGAAAAAGAGAAAATTTTTCATTTATTTCAGTGCCACTGAAACGGCTCTAAGTTGCAGGTTATGTTGCTGTGCCTTAATGATAATATTTAAATTAGAATAAACACAAACATTTGTATAAAATAGTTCTTCTTCTGATTTGACAGTTGAAATAAACTTAATCTAGTACCTAATTTTTAATATTATTTTCAAACAAAATCTTCTGTTTATTTTAACGGCAACATTATACATAAAGAGATATTTTTATTTAAAACTTTTAAAAATAAAATATTTAAATTTATTTAGCAAAAAATAATACATACAATTTTTTGTCTTTTTATAAATGCATTTTGTTATTTTTAACTGCCATTTATTAATTAAAAACAACAACAATAATAACAATATATTTTTTAATTAAAAAATTATTTCTTTTTTTATTTAAAAATTAATTCGTCGGTGCATGTTTTTATTAAAAAATATTTTTATTTATTTTTATTAAAATCGTTTTTGAAATAAATAAATGGTTATATTTAACGGAACAGCAAAAATTCGGGTTGTTGAGGCTCGGGAATTAAGGCCTACAGAATGGTCTAAAAGGTTTCTCTTTTTCCCTTCCAGTTCTCTCAAAAATAAAATTTCTCCCAAAAAAGATTTACTCAATCTGACGACCCAGACAGTCAATTACTCGATGCTTATGTAAATGTTGATTGTGATGAATACCATATAGGGCAAACAGTTACTAGACCAAAAACAAAAAGTCCAGTTTGGAATGAAGACTATCAAGTATTTATTAAATATCCCTAAAAGAGTTTCTTCTCAAAATGAAAATATTTCTTTTTTAGACAGAAGTAAGGAGTGGAAAGGAGTTGGGATTTACAGTATTCCATGATTGTGCTTTACCTCCAGATGATTTTGTTTCTAATTGTAGAATTACTTTCGATCATTTAACTTTGAGTGGAATTAATGATATTTGGGCAGATTTAGAACCACATGGACAATTACATTTACAAATTGAATTACAGGGAAAAGTTACTGAAGAAGGTGAGGGAATAAATAAAATTGAGGGGAAAAGAGAAAATCTTAATAGAAATATTTAATTTAAGATAAAGAACCCCGTGTATTCCAAGAACGTTCTGGAGCATTCAATGACCGCCAAAGGCGTGGAGCAATGCGAAGAAAAATCCACGAAGTTACAGGGTGTGTTTGTGTGATAATTTTGATTTAAAAAGTATTTTTTAGACATAAATTTATGGCTTTATTTCTTCGACAACCAACATTTTGTGCACATTGTAAAGAATTTATTTGGGGGTTAGTATGGAAACAAGGGTATCAATGTCAAATATGTACTGTTGTTGTCCACAAACGTTGCCATTCTGAGGTAGGATTCGAACCTGCGACATCCTCGTAGTTATTGTTAGGCGCTTTAGCTCGCCACAGAAGCTCTACATCCTTAACCCCTATAAAAAATAATGAGAATATTTTAGAGGAATTACTTGTCGACAATAAAACATTAAAAAAATATTTCCCAATACAGGTGTAAAATTTTAATTAATTTAAATAAATTTTAGGTTGTATGGAAATGCCCAGGAAGTAAAACAGAAACTTTTTATGAAATACCTCCAGATGCTGTTGATGTAAATAAATATAAAATTTTAAAAAAATTTAAATTTTTATAGCAAGGTCTTGGCCGTTTCAATATAAATATGCCCCATCGTTTCCAAATTCATTCATATAAAAGGCCAACATTTTGTGACCATTGTGGTTCTATGCTTTACGGGGTTATTAAACAAGGACTACAATGTTCTGTTTGTAAATTAAATGTACACAAAAGGTGTCAAAGAAATGTAGCTAATAATTGTGGAATTAATGCTAAACAAGTAAAAAAGAAAACAAAAATTATTAATTTAAATTTACGCTCCATCATAAATTCATAATAATTACATACAAAAATATATTTATAGACAAATTATATTTATAAATTAACAATTGATAATAAATAAGGTTGTCGGATAGTTGGAAACCTTCGGATATCCGGACCCGATATCCGAACCGAAATTTTCCGGATATCCGGATCAGACAACCTTAATAATAAATAATATATTAATTTTAGCGGAGATTTTAAAATCTTTAAAATAAATTTAAAGATGGCAATGGAATTAGCACAACTTGGATTAACTGGTGATAAAATGTCTGTTAGAATGAGAAAACCATTAAGTATATCAACATCAGAAAGTAGTGCCTCAAGTAGTTGCACACAAGAAACATCAATAACAACAATAAAAAACGATATAATTTCCTCTTCAAATATAAATTCTTCTTCTTCAACATCTTCTTCCCCAATATCTTCAAACTTGCCTTCAACAAATATTTCTTCTACACAAATTATTTCACAACAAACAACAGTCATTTCTCCCCAAGATAAATTAAATATTAAATCTTCTACTGCTTCTATTAACGATTTTACTTTTATTAAAGTACTTGGAAAAGGATCTTTTGGAAAGGCAAATTATTTTTTAAATAAATTTTTGTAAACCTCTTTGAATTAATTAAGTATGTACTAAAACTGATTACTAAAACAAAGTATTAGTAAAGACCAGCTTGTTGAGTTTAATATGCTAGCCAAACTTATGTAGAGGCAAATAGAGAGTTCTTTCCTTTGTATTTTTATAAAGTAATGGTCTCCAACAGGGATGGCCAAAACAAAATTTTTTTTATCATCAGAAACCAAGAGAAGACCATCGAATCTACTGATATCCATTTTAATCCCTATTAATGCTCCAGATATATCTAAATTGAACCTTTTCCACCAAATCCACTGATATTTGAAGGCTAGGAGGGATAAAAGATATTTTGTGATTAAAAGTTTGTGGGGTTTCCTTAATCCTCCGGTATCTCTGCTAGTATCAGTTCAAATCCCCTGATCAGTAGGCCATCCCTGCTCCCCAATTCTATTATTTTTGAAATAATTTAGGTAATGCTGGCAGAAAGAAAAGGCACAGAAGATGTATTTGCCGTGAAGGTGCTCAAAAAAGTGAGTTTACAAATCTTTTATAAGATTTGTCTGAATTCCTCAGGATATAATTCTTCAAGATGACGATGTTGAGTGTACATTATGTGAAAAAAGAATTCTTGCCCTAGCTGCCAAACATCCCTTTTTAACTGCTTTATTTTGTTCTTTCCAAACACATGACAGATTATTTTTTGTTATGGAATATGTTAATGGAGGCGATTTAATGTTTCAAATTCAAAGAGCAAGAAAGTTTGAAGAACCTAGAGCTAGATTTTATTCAGCTGAAGTTACTTGTGCATTACAATTTTTACATAGACATAATGTTATTTATAGAGATTTAAAATTGGTGAGAGAAATTAAAGAGAATTTAATTTTTGTTCTTTTAACAAATAGGATAATATTTTGCTTGATTCTGATGGTCATTGCAGATTAGCTGATTTTGGAATGTGTAAGGAAGGAATTACTCGAGATAACTTAACATCTACTTTTTGTGGTACACCTGATTATATTGCCCCAGAGGTGTTTAACAAAAAAATTTTTTTTATTAATTAAATATACTGTACAGATTTTACAAGAAATGGAATACGGATTTTCTGTTGATTGGTGGGCATTGGGTGTTTTAATGTATGAAATGATGGCTGGACAGCCTCCTTTTGAGGCAGATAATGAGGATGATTTATTCGAAGCTATACTGCATGATGATGTTTTATATCCGGTTTGGCTAAGCCGAGAAGCTGTTTCAATTCTTAAAGGGGTTTGTAGTTATTGACAAACTTCTTTTAATTAAATATTTTTAGTTTATGACAAAGAAACCACAACGCCGTTTAGGATGTATGGAATCACAAGGAAGGTAAAAGAGTGCTACATATTTTAATTTGATTGTCAGACATACTTACAATTAAGTAAAAATGTTTAGGTTAAACGAAAAAATTAAGTAAACATTTGGTTAAAAACTTGAATTTAAAGATTCTATATCTCCCCACTTACAAATTAGATGAGAAACCCTTATGAATAATGTTAAAATTATATATTCCAGCGAGGATGCAATCCGGGCACATTCATTCTTTCGAGAAATCGACTGGGATGCATTAGAGGCACGGAAAGTAAAACCACCATTTAGGCCAAGAATTGTAAGTCTTTTTCTCAGTTTCATTAATCAAAAAATTATTTTTTAGAAAGGCAAAAGGGATGTAAATAATTTTGATGCTGATTTCACTAAAGAAGAGCCAACATTAACCCCTACAGATCCAACGGTTATGAAATCTATTGCACAGGATGAATTCCGAGGATTTTCATTTATTAATTCAGAATTTAACAGAGAATAATTTGCCTACTCTTTTTTAAATTTTTTGACCAAATATTTTTTTCTTTTTTCCCATATTTTTGACTTTTCCTTTAATAATTTAGGCCCAATTTTATCTTTTAAAAATAACAAAGTTCTCGCCAAAATTTCTTTTTTTTTGTGTACAAATGGTAAAAATGTACATTTCGTTTAAATTAAAAAAGTTTTTTTAGATAATAAAATGTGTAAAAATTAATATAAAAAACTGTCAGGGATACACGTTATAAAAGAGTCTTGTCTTTAAATTTTTAAAATTGCAGAACCATTTAAATAGGAGGTTAAATTTTTTAAATAATTGGTAAATTTTTAAATAGGTATATTTTTGTGATTAATTTGTTTTTAAGTTTTCCTTTTTAAAAAAGGATGAGAATCACAATTGTTTGTTGCGTGAAAGTAGTCAAAACGATAATTATATAGTCATTCTAAAAATCGGGCAAGCACAGTCTTATGTTGTTACAATTTAAGAAGAGGAGAACCAACTCATTGGTCTTTTTTCACGTTTCTTCGATCCAACTTTAAAATTTTTTTTTAATTATTTATCTTTAAATAATCTCAATTTTTAATTACCTCCATTTCTAGTTACTGCTTGATAAAGATGTTGATCATCTTGTGTAGATGAATTCATTTTATCGTCTTGTTCAGCCATATATTCATGGAGTTGTTTCATTTGCTCGCCGTAGTTTTGTTGTGTTGTCTCAAGTGTTTCCTTAAAAAGTTTTAGATTTAAATATTATTTTTAGAATAATTTATAAAGGAAAATTATATTTTAATTTAAAGTCAAAAAATGTTTTTTGAGCAATATTTTTAATAAAAAATAAAATTATAAAACAAACATGCAGCAATGTGCATTTGTCCTCAAGATCACGAACTTTGCTTTGCAAGTCTTCAATTTGCCCAGCATCAGAAAGACCTTTTCTAACAAGTTCTTCACACTTAAAAATTATTGAATTAAAAAAATAAATTTACAAAATAAATATTTTTTGTTGCACATCTAATGGAGGACCATTCTCTTTGAATTGAGAAAAACCCAACGAGAATGTGCTGTTTACTTTATGAAGAATGTAACACTGAAAAAACCTTTAAAAGAGGTTAGCAGTTGACTATTCTTCAAGAAAATAACCCCTCAAACAAAATATAAAGGACATCTATTTTTAAAATTATCCGACTAAACCACATAAGTTACACAACCAACAACCAAAAATTGTTTACCTCTTGTTTGTAATATGTCGCTCGTCCAGTGGCATGTTGCAAAGATTTTGTTAAAGTAGAGATTCGTTCAGTATAATATTCTTCCAATAATCGTCTCTTTGCCACAATTTCTTCATTTTCTACGTCAGTTTGATCTGTTGAGTCGACAGAAACAGCAGAATCAGATGGCTTTCCATCACTTTATAGAAATATCAAAGAAAATTATTTTCAAAAAAACCTTGAACGAGAACGGGAATGAATGTCCATTTCTGAATTGGAAAGTTGTTCTCCAAGATTTGAACATCCTCCACAATCGGGTGAAGTAATGGTGGGATTGCCTTTTATATTTGAAAGTGAATTTGTTGGCTAAAAAGATATATTTATAAGGTTAAAAACAAAAAAATATTTTAATTCACCAAGTCTGTGTTGGCAGTCTTTACAAAATTGGTAGAGCCATTTAACGAGGAAGCATTTCTGAGTGCTGAATTTTCTTTCTGTAATGACTCAATTCGTTGAAGTAACTCATTAGTAGTCTCTGTAGAGCGCCTTTCAACGTCAAAAAGCTAAAAAGAAAAAATTAAAAGATGTCGAAAAGTATTTTTTCATTAAGAATTTAATCTTAAAAATTTATTGTTAAAAACACTTTGGAGTGAAGAACACTATTTTCTAGTATTTTACGCTCCAGTTCCTCCTCCATAATAATATTGGGATCAGAAGTAGAAGTACCGCCAAAAGTTTGATGTTGATGCATTCGAGTATTCTCAGCTACTAAACGCAAATTTGCTTCTTTATGTTTCTAAAAATTAAAAAATATAAGAGAATTAAGAAAATAGAAACCTTTTTCCCTTTGGTCGGTTCAAAAATTGAAAGTTGAGCTTCCAAACTTTCTTGTAAACTCTCAACTCGTTTTACAAGTTGATCATTTCGGAATGCAAGAGAGTCACGTTCGCTTTCTGTTTTTCTCAATTTAGTATCCCCAGCAGTGATTTGATGTTGTAATTCAGTCGTTTTGGCTTGTTCTTCGAGGAGTGCCGATTTCAAAACAGATACCTGATTCCTGACCTAAACAGATAAATAAGCACTCAAAAACAATTTCACTCATCGAAAAATAAAATTAATTTAACAAAAAATCAACTATATTTAATTTAAAAATCACCTTAACATATTCAACACTAAGCCGTTGATATTTTGCAGCAGGATCAATCCCAGTTGAAATGCTAGACATTTAAAAAATAGAAAAATCTAAAATTAAACAATCTAAAAGTTATTTTAAAAAATTATTTTTCAGGAAATTTGAGAAATTGCATTTTTGAGTTTATTCGGCTTTAACGTTTTGTAGGATAAGCTGATCAAATCAACTCTGGGTAATAGTTCGGTTCGTACCCCCCCCTTTCCTTCCTTAAAGTATTAAAAATGGTCAGTCATTCTTAGATATAGAACTCGTCGAATGAGCTGTGTCGAATGACACCAAAATCAACCCCAGATCTTAACCTTGGGCCGAAATACAGACCCCCGAAAATTAAAAAATAAGGGTGGACCAAGCTCATTTTTTTGCTAAAAATTCGATTGAACAAATAATACCTCATTCGAAAGAGCTTGTCGGGCTGATTCGATTGACATCAATTTGCGAAATCTTTCTCTTTTGTCTCTTGCACAGGGTTTTTGTCTGTATCTCGGCCCAAGGTTAAGACCTGGGGTTGATTTTGGTGTCATTCGACACAGCTCATTCGACGAGTTCTATAGTCTAAGAATGACTGACCATTTTTAATACTTTAAGGAAGGAAAGGGGGGGGGGGGGTACGAACCGAACTATTACCCAACTCTGTTACAGAGCTTACAATTGATATAATTAATTACTTAAATCTGTTAATGTAAAAGAATAAAAAAATTATGACTCAAAATACGACCTCGCGCTGAAACGAGCGACTCTGAAACGGCCTTTACTGTTAAAATTCACTTAGAGTCCTAAAAATAAAAAATCCTTCAAATATTCCTTAAATAAAAAATCTAATTGTAAAGCATCAGTAACAAATATTTAATTTTCTTCAAGAAATGGAAGGAACAAAGCTAAAGTGCCCGCATTGTCCTGCCAAAGTAGATTCTCGACGGGTAATATTAAAATATTAATTTTTTTATTATTTCTTATTTTTAGTTTACATATCATCTCGAATGCTGTGTAGCGTCAAAAAAATTTCCTTGTGATATTTGTGGTCGACGATTTGCAACTCAGAAGGGTGTCTCAGGACATTTAAGCAGATTCCATACTGCGGATGAGCGTGGAACAGAATTTAAGTGCAAGTTTGTTAATTTTTTTGTAAGTTTCTTTACTATGTTTTAGGTATTGTGAGCAAGGGTCAAACAGCCGAAAGGACATGGACAAGCATGAAATGGTGCATGAAGAAGCCGGAGGTCCTGGGTTTCGCTCGCGTTCTCGATCACGTTCTCGTGGACCAGTGGAGAATCGTTCAGAAACAAGTGTTCAGAGTCCAGCAACTCCGGTCTATAGGGCTGCGAATAATAATTGTTGGTTTATTTTGTGATTTTTTGGATTAAAAATTGAGGACTGAATTTGTTATTTTTTACGTTTTTTCTTCCCTTGTATTCCTTTTATTGGGGAATACAAGAGAATAAATCGCAGATATTAATTTAAAAAATATGTCATTTCAGCTGCAACCAACTATTCGTTATCAAATGATCTTTTTACAACTCAAAGTGATGAGATGATGCCTCGTTATCCTACTTCTCGTTCTAGAAGTCTGAATGTTGATAGGTCTCGAAGTAAACCAGCTGTTGTTTCGCAAGTATCTTCTCATGTTCGAGACTCTAAAGGTTTAAATGCCAATTAACTTGTTGTAAAATTTTAATCTTTTTTAGTTTATAAACGCCCTGTGGGCGTCTATACGTGGGCGTCTATACATCCTACTCCGAACAATATTGCCAATATTGCACATGCGAGCATAAATTCTATTCATAATCAACGAGAGGATTTGGTTATTTTTTTCTTAATATCTTTATAAGTTTCCATTTTAAGAATGTTTCTAGTACAACTGCTGATGTGAATCTTGAGCAAAATGAATCTCACATTAACAACACAAATATTTTTGATGGAGATGCTATTCGTAAACGAATTGCCGAAGAAAATAAAGGATTCGCTAATGCTGTTAAGGTTATAATTATTTAAAGTTTAATCTCCATTCTTTCTTAAAAAGAAATGGTATTCCTCTTTTTTACTTTCCTTTGGTTGAAAGGCTTCCTAATAATTTCTTTGTTTTTAAGCTTCTTCGCAAGGAAAATAAATCACTGCGTACTTTTTGTTTGACAAACGACTTTCAACTGAGTGATAATGATCCTATTGAACAGATAATTCGAGGTGAGAAATTCAATATCTTATATATATTTTTATTTTTTTGAGAATATGAGCGGCGTTTTGGGTACCTTTCAGAAAGTGATGAGGATATGTAATTCGATGGTGGATTAAAATTAACGAAATACCTATTATGTATTTATGATATTTAAGAGCATTATTTTATTTTTATTTAAATGTATTTCTCAAATCCTAATCTTTTTTGCAGCTTTATCTCTATTATATTATATCCAGTATTTTAAACTAACATTTATTGAATTATTTAAATAAAATTATTTTAAACAACTTTTTAATTACAAATGTTTTTATTAAATAATTATCTTGAAAATTTAATTTACTTAAATTATATTTTTTAGAAATTAAAATTTTTTGTATAGATTTTAAGCTCAATGTTTGGAAATTATAAATCATTTAGAAATCCTTCAATTTCTTTCATTGGTAGAGTTGGACAAATAAACACTAAACAGGAATGTTCGCCCTCAAGTATGTATGTCTCAATACCTTAAGAATAAAACTTTCGTATTTGAACCCTTGCCATCAAACATTTTACGTTTTACTATTATATTTTTAAGCATCCAATTGTTTATGTTCTACACCAAATACAATGCTTTATACTCGTGGTGGACACATTCCTCATTTAACCTGGGATCTTTTTGATAACCACATTGCAGCTTATGTTGAACATACGAGATTGTTAATTCAAATTTCTCTACAAAATATGTAGGTTCTAAATTATTAAAAGAATTTAAAGTTTTTATTTTAGATTTGACTTTCTTGAAGTTATTAAATTATCGGCAGGAATAAAGAACTTTTATAGATTTGAGGTTTGAAATTTAATGAGAAAATAACTTTAAAATTTTTATTTTTAGCCTGACCATTTTCTCCACCTTTCATTATTAGATCCACTTTGTGCTAGAGATGTTGTGTCAAATCGTTTTATTCATTTTTGGAGTAGGGGCGGTAGAAAAAAGGTATTTTTATATTTTTTGAGAAATTCTTGAAATTTAAGAATTTTTAGGCTTATGATGATTCTGAATGTTTTTTCAACTTATTTTTTAATTTAGATGGATATGGAGCAATTCAAAAACGCAATCGAAACAATTATTCCTGATAGTTTTCAAGCGCCTTTTGATTTTGATACACCAATTGATTGTTGCAACAAAAAATTACAAAAATGTTTAAAAAGGAGTAGAAGCTTTTTTGAAACATTAAAAATAAATTCTGAGGATAATAATTGTTTTGATAAAAGAACAATATTTTCAATTGGCGGTGGACCTTCCATTTTTCATAGAAAAATGTTTGTAAAAGAATTATTGTTACAACTTTGTCCTGACAATATTGAAGTTATTAATTTAGATTTATTTTTATGGAGTAAAATTGGAAACAAAAACGAAGAAAATTTCGATAAAGAATTTTTGAGACAACTTATTGCTGAGACATTGGTAAGATTTTTTGATTTTTAATTCACTGCAGAGTGGGTGTCTTTTTGATAGTGGAGTGAAAACAATTTAAAAGATATGTCTTTCCAGCAAACTAAATTTCATTATTCTAGAGTTATCTTCCTCAAAAGAATCTTCGAATTGTTGAAGGCCCATTTGATCCGGCACAAGTACTTTTCCTTTTTAAGCAAGGCGTTGACTTATTTGACTCATCTTATCCAACATTTCTTGCTGAAAAAGGTTTTGCTTTTGAACTTTTAGAAGGATTTCCATTGGATGATAATAATGAACAATTCTCTTTAATTGATTTGAATGAAAAAAAGTATTTCCAAATAATGAGAAAAATTTAAGAAATTAAATTTTAGGTATTTGAATGAACATAAAACACTTTTTCCAAATTGTGAATGTTACACATGTAAATTAGGAAATGGATATACACGTGCTTATATTGGACATTTATTGTTGTGTAAAGAAATGTTTGGATATACTTTGTTGATGTTACATAATATATATGAGTGGTTAAGGATGTTTTCTTTGTTAAAAATGTCAAGTGTTAAAAATTTAGAAAATAAATAAAATTATGGATAAATATTAAAGAATCTTTTTTTTATTAATGTTGATCAAGCTCTCAAAATATCTTTTATCCAATACTTTTTTAGTTTTTGAGGGGATTATATGATGGAAGCTTTTTTCTAACTTAATTTTTAGATGGATGAAACTAGTTTTTCACCTACAAAATTATTGGATGATTCTTCATTTGCCGGACCTTCTTCAACTTCTATTGGTAAACAAATAACATTTCAGGAGAAAAAACACAGAATTCTCTACGGAGTCTCGCGGGATGATTATCTAACTGCTTTTGCTGCTGATAAGAAAAGATTAAAACTTGAGAAAAGTAGCAAAGATGGCAAAAGAAAAGAAACGAATGCACCTTCTCTTGATCGAATTCCAATGCCAAATTTGCCAGAAAATGTGAAAGTAGAATATCGAGCTTCGATGAAAGATGCGCAGCAAAGGAAGGTTTTTTTTATCAATTTTTATTTTCTTTAAATATTTTAGTACCGAATTTCACATGAAAATCCTCCTTCGGTTTGCCTTTACACGTTGCTTAATTCACAAGGAGATGGAGGGCTTTGTTCTGCTACTATTTCAGATAATGCTTCACTTTTAGCACTTGGTTATGGAAGTTCTAATATTCAAGTTAAAGAATTTTTTTCAATTAAATTTTATTTTTAAATAAAGGTAAACGCTTTGGCTACAGAGAATCTTAGAATGTTAAAAGAAGCAAAGGAATTAGAAGAGCTTGATAATGAAATGGAGGAATTTAGCGAAGAAATGTTTGATGAAAAAAATAAACAAAAATCGTTTACACTTTTGGTAAATTTATTTTCAATTTTGAAATTTTAAAGAAATTTTTATAGGGACATTCAGGTCCAGTACATTCTCTATCATTCTCTTGTGAGAAAAGATTGCTGCTTTCTGCTTCTCGCGATGCAACAATTCGGTTATGGGGATTGGAAATGCAAAGAAATTTAGTTATTTACAGACCGATGGCTCCTGTTTGGAAAGGTTAATCTTAATAAAATATATAAAAATTAAACTTTTAGCTATTTTCTGTAATCGTGGTTATTATTTTGCTGCATCTACCGCTGATCAATGTGTTTCACTTTGGGCTACTGATAGGGTAAAACCTCTTAGAATATTTGCAGATGCTAAAGATGATGTAACAGAGCTGGAATTTCATCCAAACTGCAATGTAAACTTGCCTAATTTTTTATAAAATAAAATTCATATGTAGTATATTATTGGAGGAGGAGATAACGCTCTCATTCATATCTGGGATGTGCTTACTGGTACTTGTGTTCGAACATTTTCTGATCAAATTGTTGCCGATAGAGGAACAATTCGAGGGCTTAAAGTTTATATTTCTTAAAAATTCAAGACATTCATTAAAAATATAGAGTTCTCCTTGTGGCCGTTATTTAATAGCAGCATACGAGGCAGGCACAATTGGAGTTTGGGATTTAGCACAACAACGTCTTTTGCTTACCTACGAGTGTGAAGATACTTTTGACTTTAATACGCCTATTCAATTTTCTCGTGATGCATCAATTGTTGCAATTGGGACACCACAACATGGATTGAGCTTCTTCTCTATGGAAGTTGCTTCATCAGCAGCACATTCTTCTAGTCAACAGCAAATGCCGCATCCAATGTATATAATTTGTCCAGAATTTTTAAAAATAAACTGCATAAAAATTATAGAATAAAATTTCAGTGTCAACCCAAGCGGATTTGGTCAATTTGTTTATCCAACTAAAAGGACAAATATTGTTGATGTACACTTCACGAGAAAAAATATTGTAATTGCTCTTGGTGTTTTTGAGCAATGAAAACCATGTTTTATTAAAAAGATTTTTATATAGCTTCTAGGACTAGAAAGAGAAGGTAAAGAAGGTACTATTGCATTTGAAACTTAAACGTTAAAATCTGAAAAGTTTTAAAAACGAAGATAAAAATAACTCTTGACCAATTTACAGCTCTTAAGAGGAAACTAAATGAAAGAAAAAAATGGAGTGAGATAATGCAATAGTACCGAAAAGAATTTAATGCTTTGAGGGGTTATAAACTATTTACATAATTTGAGCGATAGACCCTTAGTCAGAGGAATATTACGAATCAATGAGTTATTCTTGAAAAAATATGCCAATGAGTTATTCTATTTGTACTTCAGAATTAATTCCTCTGACTACGAGCCTGATGACAGTTCGGATAGACTATCAGCAAAAAAGAAAACTTTGTTTAGAAAAACAGAAAGTGTCTCTTCTAGAATTAATTTAAAAATTGATATTGGAGTATCTAAAGAACATCTTTATGTCAAATCATGGCTTCACAACCATCTTCTCATGAACATCCAGGTTACCAACGACCTAAACTCAATGAAAATAAATTACCAATCTAAGAAATTTAAACGAGTCAAGCATTAAAAAAGTTAGAGTGCCCTAATACAGAAAAATCAAATTTCAACGAGTAGTTAAATAATCTGATTTTTGTTCGCTAGCCTATTGCATTTCTCCAATGGATTCCCCTAAACCATATCTTTACCATATAAGCCATTTAAGGTTAACCACCGCATTTTAAAAACTGATGTTAATTTATACATTTTATTTAAAAAGCATTTTTATGGTTAGCACGAAAAAATGAGGTTAATTGTAAGTTTCGTAAAAAAAAGAGGCCAGTCATAAAATAAAAGAATTGTATGTAATAGTAAAAATTCTCCCCAAATTAAAATTATATCCATAAAGTATTCCCTTGTCTAAATAATTAAATATACTGTTTAGGGAGGGGACAGACGAACACATCACAATTTTAGAAAATTAAAAACTGGGAAATAAAAAGAATTAAAAAAGGGAAAGAACATCGAAATATGAAAAAATACATTTATTTGTCTTAATTTATTCATTCAATCAAATATTCTCTAATACCATCTTTTTGTGAACCTCAGTCCCCTCCACCACCTGTAAATGGAAAGATGGAAAAAGGTGCAAATTTAAAAAGAAAATTCTGAACATTAACTGTTCAAAAGTGCATATAATTTACGAGAGAGATTTTGTGGAAATAAAGAAATCCTTAATTTCGGAATGATCCCGCCCACTAAAAATAGTCACAGCACCCATTCATCTAACATAAGTCCGGTTGTTAAAGATAAAACAAATTGTTTAATAAGATTAAATAAAACTTACATCGCAAAATTCATCAAAAGAGATTTTTCCATCCCCATCTTTATCATGAAAAAGAATTGTTTTATCTACAATTTGTTGAAGTTGAGTATCCTTCAAATTGTTGCCAACCATCATTTTTAAAACCTTAAGAATAAAATTAAAATATAAATTAATTAAAAAAAACCTGGAAAAGTTCTCCATTTGAAATATAACCATCACGGTCCATATCGTATATTCGGAATGCAACTGAAATATGAATTTGTGAATCTAAACTAACTTTAAATATTTTATTGTGAATAAGCCTTCTAAAGTTATGTGTCTTCAAGTTAAGCGGCATTGAAGCTTTAAAGTTAAAGACCCTTCGGTCGAGAATGCCTACGACCAAGGAGGGAAGCAGTGGTGTCGAAAATTTTTAGTAGCCCATATTTTTAATAATTAAGAACGAAGTAAACTAACATCTTAATTTCACATTCTTGTCGCCTTTAACGCTGAACTGTGAGATTCCTTGAATAAATTCTGAAAAATAATTGGCAAATCAGCCATAGAATTCCTTATATAACCTTTAAAATCAACTTCTCCGTTTCCATCTGAATCAAAAATATCAATAACACGTTGAACGAGTGGATTTTGCTGTAATTCAGGCAGGCTCATAAACTCGTCAACACTCAAACTTCCAGAACCATCTAAGTCCAACTTTTTAAAACGTCTTGCTAAACGTCTAAGCTCATAAGCATCAAAATTGCTACACATCTCCATTGGAAGCGAATTCTCATTGCCCTAGAAGAAAAAATTATTTTAATTTTTAATTATTCTACCATTTGTTATTAACGTCGATGTGGCTAAAGATGTGAAGATTTAGTTTCAAAAATTAAAGTTATTGGATAGTCTTGAAAAAAGATAATATAAGTACGTATATTATAAAAAACAAACAAACTATCAAAGCAATAAAAAAACTATCAAAGTCTAAAAATGAGGGTAGGTTTTCCGTAAAAATGACGAGATTAAGCATTTAAATCATAACACCAAAATGAAATTTTAACGCCAAATAATGAAAAAAGTTTGAAAAAATATGACAACTGCATATTGAGACAATTCCACATTGGACAATTGCACTGTGAAGTGTTGGTTGATGTATAGGTATTTGTTATAGGTGTATGAAGTCGGAATAGTACTGTGTATCCCAGCAAGCTATGACTAAACGTCGTTATATAAAAGTAAAAATAACCTTTAATCTCAAAATAACATCAATTATTACTTCTAGTCACCTGTTTGTCATCTGGCATTCATCTATTTGTGATGTCACCTCCAAGGCGTCCGACGCAATCGATGAGTGACGAGTTCTGGCGAGAGATTGGGACTCCACTTGAGAGTATCTATGCTCTTCGCGAGACAGCTTCAAATCTGATCACGACTAGTTTTTACAACAAGCTAAGAATGTAAGAAACATTCTATTTCTAATGATTATTCATTGTTTTAAATTTTTCAGGAGTGCTTACAGCTTTTGCCGTACTTCTCCTCCATACAGTGCTACTACCACAAGACCTATTAGCACTTCTTTATTTGGACATGGCAGGAACAGCGACCACCCAGTTCCGGATCTCTACTTGAATTTGGACAATTTTCTGACCAACTTCACGAGGCACATTTTTGAGGTACAGCTCTTATTCTACATACCCAATTTGGTGTTTTTCCGTTATGGCGCCGCATTTTAAAAATGTTTAAAAATGTCTGAATATAACAAAATATATGTTATTCGAAAGAGCACGTCGAGCTGAGTAGAACGGCAAAATCGACGCGACCCAACAAGCTTGGGCAAAGTTACGATACAAAATAAACCATTCTTTAGCACCGTTATTTAGGCTCAAAATTGAGACCGTGGGCTTATTTTTGTGTCCTCATTGTCAGCTCGACGAGCTCTTTCGAACGACATTGTCCATATTCATGACATTTTAAAACATTTTTTATGTGCGGCGCCATAACGGAGAAATACCCCTAATTTGAAATATAATTAAAAATCTTACAGGATCTGTCGTACCGTTGGGGTGAGAATTTGCTTCGTGAGTATTCGAAAGGCTGGACGGCATACAAGAAAAGTTCAGAAGACGTTGCAAAGATTTTTGATGATCTTAGCACTAGTTTGTCTTCTTCTTTCTTTATGGGATACTATAAAGTGAGACTTGATTTTTATATTTTACAGTATGTTTCAATTTTTAGATGGCTCTCCAAGTTTGGGAGAGAGAGATTATGCGAAAGACCTTCCGAAAAATTACTACGGCTGCACTTTGTTACGTCGATCGTGCACGTGATGGACTTGAATTCCAGAGGAATTTGGTTAACGATTTTGTTGTCTCGTTAGGTAAAAATCATTCATTTAAATTTGTACATTTTCTTTTAGTTGCGGTCGGTACTCACGAAACCGGAGACTATGACATCGAGTTTGAAACGTACAATGGTGTTGTCGAGGTCTTCAAAACACTTTCTACCGTCTGTCATTATCCACTTTACCGGGAATTGTTTCTAAAACCGTTACTCCATCAAACTTACCGGTACTACGTTGATTGGTCATCTAACTTCTTGAGAGACGGCGAGTTCTCTGAATACTTGGAACTGGTACCAGAAAATTGAAATTTTTGGCATTAATATTTAAATTAAAGGTGAAACTTCATTTTCTTGAGGAGGAGAGTTTCTGCGGCGAGAAAGATCCTTGTTTTGATCTCTGCACCTTGGTACCGCTTTGTATGGTCTGCGCTGACGCTCTTGTCATGAGACATATTGATAGGTGAATTATCACATCTTTAAATAATTCACAAAAAATTTGACAGATTCTATTCCGAGTTTGTGACATTCCTCAACGATCTGCAAATAGATAAATTGCTGATCATTTATGACTTATGCAATCGTATTCCATCAACCGTTGATAGGTTGAAAGAACTGCTAGGAAAGTATTTTGCACGTGTTGGTCTTAAAACTATCAATCAAATTGCTGATAAGGCCGAAAAAGTGAGAAAGGACATTCAATTAATGAAATTTTTTGTTTTCAGAGTCCTAAGCTATTTGTTGGTACAATAGTCCAGCTTCACGATAACTTTAGCAAATTAGTAAAGGACTCCTTTCGGACAAATAACGAATTTATGACAACAATGGAGGTATCATTCACTGAATTTGTTGCCGAGAATAACATAACAAATGGAGGAAAGACGGAGGCAAAATCCTCTCGTTTGATTGCCAGCTACTATGATCAACTATTAAGGAAAGGTATTGCAGCAGAGGAAAGGTTGTCTGGACTGGAAAAAGCTGTTAGTTTTTAAATAAAAAATTAAAAGTTTTTTTTTAATTTCTAGATGATTGCCTTTAAATATACCCGAGACAAGGACACGTTCAATGACCATTATCAAAAACTTCTCTGCAAACGTCTAATATACCATCTAAGCGTTGGCATCGAGACAGAAAAGGAAATAGTGTCCAAATTACGGGAGAAATTCCAATGTCCGAGAGTCTTTGAATCAATGCTCAACGAAACACACAAGAGTGAGATTGAGATGGAAGACTTCAAGGTGGGCTGAGAAATCTTTAAAAAAGTAAAATATATTTAATTTTTAGAAAGAGGACAACAATTCTCTTCCAGTTCTAGACTTCTCTATTATCTTGCTTACTGAAAAAGTTTGGCCTTTTCCCAGCACTTCTAATTTTTCCTTGCCTACTCAACTTAACGATTATGTCAATGGTAAATTAAAAGGAAATTTTAATTTATAAAATTTTTAGCCTTCAGTGTCTTCTACAAAAAGAAATATAAAGATAAGCGCAAACTCAGTTGGATTTACCAAGTCTCGCGTGGAGAATTATCTTCGTTAGATGGAACATTCAACAAGAAATATGTTTTTTTGGTATTTGATTCCTCCTTCAAATTTTTTCCTTCCTTTTATATTTTAGTGTACAACACAGCAAATTGCCATTCTTATGCTTTATAACAAATACGACTCTTGTAAACTTGACAAAATTGCCGCTGCAATTAAACTACCAAATAACCAAATAATGTCACTGCTGCAAGTCTTATGCAAAACTAATTTGTTGATCGAAAAGGATTTGGGCAACTTTTGCCTTAATAATGAGTTTAAAAGGTGAATAAGAATTTAGTTGAAAAGTTTTAGTAAACAAAATTTTATTTAAGTGAAAATACAATAATAGACTTGATTCGTGCAGTGGCTACTACTAACACAGGAACTCAAAGAAAGGGAGGAGAAGTGCAAAAACTCAAAAGGGACGTATTTCGGGAGTCTGTCCTCGAAACGGTTATTGTTCGGATAATGAAGGCCCGTAAGAAACTCAAACACAATGATTTGGTTTCTGAAGTTACAAGCCAGTTAAATAGTCGATTTGTTGTGAAAGTAAGTTTATAATAAATTTTTGGACAGAAAAGTATCTCTTATTTTTAGGCTCGGATGATCAAGAGTTCAATTGAACAACTTATCAAGGAGGATTATTTGAAGCGTAGCGACAATGATAATAACCTCTATGAGGTGGGATAAAAATAATTTAAATTTTGAAAATAAAATTTTATTTTTAAAGTATGTCGAAGCAGTACCGGAAGACGAAGAATAAACGATGTTTTTGCTGGAAAGATTGTGATATGTGTATATAGCAGCATTTATTGTATATCTGTTTGTTCTGTTTTTATCGGTAAAATATAATTATAACGATCGAATGATTTTATTAATGTTGAAAAGTTGAAGAAAATTTAGAGGAGATAAACAAAGTAGTTGAATGTTATTTAAAATAAAAACAAATTGAGGTCAATCTAGCAGTACATAGATTAATAATTAAAATGACCAGTTCTTTGGCAGAATAAGAATTTATTGGAATATGTAACTAAATTCTTTATAGTATATTTAAATTTAACCTATATTTCATTTATTTATAAATTAATATTCTAAAAATAAAAATTTATTTTTGGGTTACTGGACTAAAATAAATAGTATAAATTTTATATCGGGGCTCGAAAGACACGGTCATGGACTTGATTCCAGTTTAAATCTGAAAGTAGAATGTAGTCAGATAAGGCGATAACCCAATAATTAAATTGATAATAGTGCAAAATAATTAATCGACCAACCTCCTTTACTCATTTTTAACATTTTTTTTAAATTTTTTATTCAATAAGATAAAATTTATATTTAGAAGAATTTTAAAGGATTAGTTTAATAGAAAATATTAAATATTTTTTTTATTAACTTTCGATTACAATTAATACTGAATATTTTATATTTAATAAAAATGTTGATTTCACCAAATTTTTCCCATTTTTAACTGTTTACAAAAAACTACACTTCCTCTTCCTCTCCTCACTAACAGCAGTCTTCATTCCCCCCTTTTATAAACATTCTTTTCCACACTACTTGACTATTTTTCCATTTACAAAAATTTTACTTAAATCGATCGAGATGTGGACACAAAAAATAAAAAAATTGAGAAAAAAAGGGAAATCTTGACTGGATATTAAAATAAATACATATTATTTTTTAAAATTCATCATTTGTCCATTTAACCCTAACTTTTTTTTATTTTTTCCTATCCATTTTTTATTGAAAATAATACGTAAGTTTTACATTTTTTTCACTTTTTGCTTTTAAAATTTTTTTAGTTGAGGAGATAATTTTTTTAATTTTCAAATCACATTTTTTTAATTATTTTTTTATCGTTTATTAAAAATAATTTGTTAACTTTTTTTTCTTCCAACCATTCTTTTCCTTATCTTTTTCATAACTCTTTTGATTGGAGAATTTTATTTTATTTTGAAAAAGTTAAAGAAAAAATTTTTTTAGAAGCCAAAAAAAATCAAAACAAAACAAATCCAATTTAAATATTTTTCCCTCTCTCTTTTCTCAAAATTTTAACTTTAAATGACAGTTTTTACTCTCCTCTTTACATATTTCAATTCTTTCCCATCAATCTCTACACTATACCCTTCCCTCCAAAAGCGCTGGCGCAAGCGATTTGAATACGGAGATAAGGGAACACTAAAGGGGAAAAGCACAAAAATTGCGCGCTTCAAATAAAAATAAAAGAAAATGTGTTCTTCCTTTCCTTCAAAACATTGGAAGAAGAAGAGACGGCCTTGACCCTTTCTATAAAATATATAAAGTAAAATTCTTCCTTTCAAACACCTTTTTATTTTATCCAAAATATAAATCTAAATTCCAAAAGATGTAATAATTATTTGTAAAGAAAAAATTATTTTTTAAATTAATTAAATTTGAAATATTTTTTGAAATAAAAATTTAATTTATTTAATTGTTTTTCTAAATATTATACCTCGAACCTCTATATAACGTTACCTTTCGGGCCGAATTTTGCTGACGTTAGAAGGGAAGTAATTGGAGAGAGGGGATAACGTTTTGAAGAGCTTACATTTTTTATAAATTATTTTTATTTTCTCATTCATTTATCTACATCTATACATAAATATTATTCATCATTTTTTCCTCTCTGGATATTTTGCCAGACAGACCAAAAATATATTTAAAAACATTTTGGTCACATCTGGTTATTTTATTTTTAAAAACAAAAAAATCTGTTATTAAAGTGAGGAGATTTGGAAAGGAGATCCAAAAAATTAGAAAATCACTTTGAATAATAAATAAATTTATTTGAATTAATTTTAAATTAATTAATTATTACCCAGAAATTCCAAAAATTGTTTAAAATATGTACATACATACATAAATGTCTAAAAGATATTTAAATTAAAAAAAAACATTTTTCTTTTTTCTTTTTAATTTTTCGAAAATCAATTTTTTTGTTTATTTTAAATTTAATCGATGACATAAAAAGAATGTAGTAGAGCTGTCCGAGACTCTTGGTCTTGGTCTTGGAACCAAGACTTTTCTTGGTTTTTTTTCGGTCTTGGTCTTGGGGTGTTTGTCTTGGTCTTGTCTTGGTTTTATTTTTTGGTCTTGGTTTTTTGGCCTTTTTGGACCTAGTGCTTGGCCATCCAAAATCCTCAAAATTTTCGCCTGCGGCGCAGAAAATGGAAGAAATCTGGCTTCTTGAGTCCCAAAATTCAAAAAATTTTCGCCTGCGGCGCTGAAAAAGTGAAATTTTTTGGCATACGGCCTTCCAAAATTCTCAAAATTTTTGCCTGCGGCGCAGGAAAAGGAAGATTTTTGGCTTCTCGGCCTTCATATGGGGGGGGGGCTAACGTTGGGTATTGCCAAAATTTTGGCTTTACCTTGGCGTTCCAGACGTAAAATCCCACGACATCCCTCATAATTCACTAAATCCCACGGCAATCCCTCTGTTATGTACGTGACTTGTATGTCTACGTACTAACAAAGAATAACAACAAGATAAGACAGTAACTAACGACTGTGTTTTATCTACAAGACTAAATACAATACTAACGAACAATAGGAATATGGCCGACGCCGAATATGTGGAGCACTAGAATAGAATAACAGAATAGAATAATGACTAACAGACACTAACCGACACTAACCGACACTAACCCCCGGATGGCTAACGCCGTAGCCTTTTATACTAAGCACATACCCAACATCTCCCTCCTTTAAAAAGAATGAATTACCTCTGAATCTGTAATGGGTGTGCTCGAATACTTACTCCAACAAAACAAAAATACAAACAAAGGGCCAAAATTACAAAACAAAAAAAGCAAAGGGGAACAAAAAAAAACAAACAACAAAAGAAAATTTACACAATATTATCACATTTATTTTCCCCAAATCATCTTATGCACCCAGGACTTCTTTTCTTCTTTGGCTTCTGTGCCAGCGCGCGGATCCTGCTTCGTCTCTGCTGCGCTCTCCGAATTGTGCCTGGAATTTTCAAGAATTTGACTTCGAATTGAACTTTCTCTAGTTCTTAGTCTGGCCCTCGAATCTGTCGAATTTCCTTTTGAATGAATCGAATCTGGCTTTCTTAACTGCCATTTTTCTCTACTGACTACGGTTTTCAGCCAAGGGACTTCGACTTTATAATCATCTCCGAATTTACTAAGAATTGTCCCTGGCAACCAGACTGTTTTGCCATTTCTGTTTTTGTTCCATACAAAGACTTTCATGTCTTCTCTGAACTGAATAGAAGATCGCGAATTATTTGAATACTTTGACTTTCCCGAATAATTAGAATCTTTTGAATCATTTGAATTTCTCGAATCTTGACTTTTCCGAATTCTATTACTTTTCCGTCTACTTGGCTTTCTGCCTTTTTGAATAATATCACTACGACTCTTTTGACTAGAATCTATCAACGTCGGAATTTCTACCGTCAGACAATGTGGTCTTGAATAACTAGAATCTACTTTCACATGATTGACTACTGGAGTATTGCCTTGGCTCAACCTTTTCTTTGGTTTCCGGCAGTTTCGGCTAATATGTCCCATCATGCCACAATTGTAACACTGACGTGAATCTAGAATCTTGAATTGGCCTTTTCGTTGCCCTGAATTATTTCTCAATTTTCCGAATTGACTATTCTGAATATGTTCGACTCTACTAACATTATTCACACAATTCTCAGGTTCTACCTTGACCTTTGAATGACTGTCGAACGTTTTGTCCTCATCTTTCTTTTCTGCATATCTGCAACATTCCTCTAATAGAATCATCAGACTACACTCGTCTGGCCTCGAATAACGCTCCACGAATTTACGACTAATCTCTCGAATATCTTTCATTTCTTCCGGAATAGCTGCAGTGAATGCTAGAATCTTGACTTCTTCGAATAGCGATTCTAATTTCTTATACCATTCTGCTGACTCTTTTCCATCTGAATCTCCGAATTTAGGATTGATCTCGCACAATCCTTTGAATAATAGAATAAACTGCTTACTAATATGCTCCGTCTGAGCCTTGGAAATCTTCACAAACTCTACATCTTCCATCTTGAATTGAATACTTGAATACTGAATATAGAATTGCTGAATATCGAATTACTGAATACAGAATGAATATCCGAATACGACTATTCGAATAAAACTGTCCGAATACAACTGCGATTGTTCGAATAAAGTCGACCGCGCCACTGTTATGTACGTGACTTGTATGTCTACGTACTAACAAAGAATAACAACAAGATAAGACAGTAACTAACGACTGTGTTTTATCTACAAGACTAAATACAATACTAACGAACAATAGGAATATGGCCGACGCCGAATATGTGGAGCACTAGAATAGAATAACAGAATAGAATAATGACTAACAGACACTAACCGACACTAACCGACACTAACCCCCGAATGGCTAACGCCGTAGCCTTTTATACTAAGCACATACCCAACACCCTCTTAATCCTTTGATATCAACAATATCCCGTTAATCCACCCAAATCCTCTGAAATAATAACCTATTTTATTGATTTTCCACACGAATAAATTCCCCGAAATTCTTTGAATTTCGCATAAATTTTTCGAAATTATAGATAATTGTGCTGAAGTTGACTGATCGTATCAAAATAACAAAAAATAAACCAAAAATTTGACCTATGGCATTTAAAATTTGGTCTTGATTTTTGGTCTTGAGTCTTGGAGTTCGGTACACCTCAATTGAGTCCGCACGATTGAGTCCCCACGATTGAGTCTAGAGATCGGAATTTTGAAAAAACCGGGACCGGGAAACGGGAAACGGGTTCTGAAGGTCGACCGGGAGGGACCCGGACCGGGAAAACCGGGAATTCCCGTTCCCGGTTTCATCCCGGTCAAAAATGACCGGGACCCGGACCGGGAAACCGGGAAATTTAAAAAAAAATTTAAATTTATTTAAAAATTTTAAAAAGTTATGGGAGTAGTTATTTATTGAAAAATCTGATTTATAAATAGAAGAATTTAATAAATCAGTAAAATAAATCAAAAAAACAAATGTAAATTACAATGAATTAAAACATAAAGCGGATTACGTAGGGCTAAAGGGATTTGAGAGGCTAGAGAAGAATTGTGGGACATTGGGAGATTTTGGAGTCACATGATATCTATTCAAATCCCTTCAATTGGAAGGCAATGATGATTAAGGCAGATCTAATGGATTTAGAGGGATAAAGATGGCTTAATCACCAGGTCCCTTGATAAAATCGCACTAAACACTAATTTCCCTCAACTTTTCCTCCAATAATACCTCCAAACTTCTCCGTTCCAAATTCTTCTGCGAAAATTTTGAGAATTTAGGAAGGCCAACCAGCCAAATTTCTTCCGTTTTCAGCGCCGCAGGCGAAAATTTTGAGAATTTTTGTAAAATCTCTAATATTTTTAAGTCAAAAATCAAAACGCCAAGCAAAAATATTTAAAATTAGCTGTTAGAATTTTTCCCGGTCCAAAAAAAGCCGGGATCGGGAACGGGAAACGGGAAATGAAAATTAACCGGCCGGGACCCGGACCGGGAAAACCGGGAATTCCCGATCCCGGTTTCATCCCGGCGTCTTCAAAAAAGCCGGGAAAAAGGACCGGGAAACCGGGAAACGGGACCGGGTCCCGATCCCGTTCCGATCTCTAATTGAGTCCGCACGATTGAGTCCCCACGATTGAGTCCCGGCACAATTGAGTCCCCACGATTGAGTCCGCACGATTGAGTCCCCCTTGTATATACCTCAATTGAGTCCCCGTAGATTTAATTATATTAAAAAGGATTAAGAGGGATATCTGGGGATTTGGGGGGATTAAAGTGAACATCCGGGGACCTGTATGTGACATCGAGGGATCAAGTTGGATATCGGTGAATATTAAGAGATATAAGTAGATTTAAGCGATTAAGGGGGATATGGGTGGATATTGTGGATTTGGGGATTAGGAGGGATATCGAGAGATTTTTTGAATGACAGCTCATTCGAATGAGCTAAGTCGAATGACACAAAAATCAACATGGTTCTCGCCGAGATATGGGGCTCGAAATGGTCAAATCCACGGGGGAATTTTTGGGGACAAAAAATTCGAATATTAAATTATACCTCATTCGAAAGGGCTCGACGAGCTGAGTCGAATGACATCAAAATCAGCTTGATTCAATGATTCTGAACAAAGTTATGACCAACTGAATCTGCGCTGGAAAACTGTTTTGTGCTGCTACGGAGGGTATGTGGGGTGCAGCAGGGGTGCACAGGTGGTCTGTCCGGCATTTATATTTTAAAAAATAGAAATTTTGGAATAATCCCGCATGCCGGATATGGAAATTTTAAACTTATTAAATCCACGGGGACTCAATTGAGGTATATACAAGGGGGACTCAATCGTGCGGACTCAATCGTGGGGACTCAATCGTGCGGACTCAATCGTGGGGACTCAATTGTGCCGGGACTCAATCGTGGGGACTCAATCGTGCGGACTCAATCGTGGGGACTCAGTTGAACTGCTCCGTTGGAGTTTTGGTCTTGGTCTTGAGTCTTGGTCTTGGAAAAAATTTTGTCTTGGGTCTTGAGTCTTGGAAAAATTTTGGTCTCGGACAGCTCTAGAATGTAGACAACAATTTTAGAGTTAAAATACATTCAAATTTATTTTAAAATTTAATATAAAATAAATATTTTCAATTATTTTGATAATATTTAAATTATTCCTTTTAATTTTTATTTATTTAATTAATTAATTATTTAAAAACAAATTTATAGTCCTTCTAAAAATATATTTTATCTAGAATTTAAAAAAAATGTCACGTACAATATCCCCATATTCCTCATCCTCATCTTCTTCTCAATCAAAACCAACAAATAATTTATTAAATCAAAATATAATTATGGAAGAAGATTTATTGCAAGATGAAACTTTGTATTTTGAAAGGAATAGAATTAAACAATTAAAAGATGAAAGGAGGGATATACAAAAGAAGACTTTTACAAAATGGTGTAATACTTATTTAAGTAGAGTATGTTAATTTAAATATTTGTCTTAATTAAAAATTAAAATAAAAAAAGAGAATAAATTAAAAAATAATATTTTTAAATTCTTCAGAAATTAATTCCAAATAATTTTAACTATAAATTTATTTTCCTTTCAAAAGGCTCGTATGGAAGTCCAAGACCTTTTTGCAGATTTGGGGGATGGTATAATGTTATTAAAATTTCTGGAAATTATAAGTGGAGAAAGTCTTGGGAAGCCTAATCGTGGAAGAATGCGTGTACAAAAAATTGAAAATATAAATAAAAGTTTGGAATTTCTTAAACAAAAGAAAATACAAGTAAGAGAGAAAGTTTTGATTAAAAAATAAAAGGGAGTCTCTAAAAGTTTTATGAAAAAAATGCCTAAATGAAATTTAATAAAAGAAATTTTTGTAAAAAGGGAATTTGATCTTTTAAATTTAAAAATTGGAAATTTTTTGATTAATTCAAATAAACAAAAAAATTGTATTTAATTATGAAGATTTATATTAAAATTAAAGTTGTACCCCGACCCCGTTCTCGAACGATTTTTTGACATTTACCCCTCGACCCGAACCCATCCCCGAAACAATGTGAAAACCTCATATCCGTCCCGAGCGTTCGGGGTAAAACCTGATTAAATTTGCATTTCTTTGTTTAATAAAATCACCATTCCTTTAAGTTAGAAAATATTGGAGCAGAAGATATAGCAGATGGAAATGAACATTTAATTCTTGGCCTTATTTGGACAATAATTTTACGTTTTACAATAGAAAATATAGAAATTGAAGCAAAAGAATCGGGGGAGAGAAAACACGCAAAAGAAGCTTTGCTGCTTTGGTGCCAAAGAAAAACAGCTGGATACCCAAATGTTCGAATCGACAATTTTTCTTCTTCTTGGCGTTCTGGATTGGCTTTTTGTGCTTTAATTCATTCACATCATCCTGAATTAATTAATTTTGATGGACTTAATACACAGGATCCTTTATGTAAGTTTTTTGGGGGTTTTTATATGGAAAAAAGGGGAATTAAAAATCTGATAAAATCTGTTTTTGAGTAATAAAATGATTAAAAAGGAAGTCAAATGGATTGTTGTCCATTAAATTTGATTTTCTTTTTTGAAAAATTTTAGATTAGGTATGTAGTCGAAATCCTTGGTTTTATTTAACTCAAAATATTCGAGTAAATATCAAGTTTATCTTACTTTCCTTTTGTCATGTTTCTTAACGATTTTCCCAAAAATTTAAAGGGAATTGAGTTAAGTTTTAAAAATAAATATTTGCTTTACATAAAAATATTAAAAAATAAAATTTAACAAAAAATCCATTTTTGTTATCTTTCTATTGATTAAATTATTTTAAAATTAAAAGAATATTTTTTTAATTTAATATTTTTGTCAATATTGTAAAATTGACATCGAAAATAAATAAATTTTAACTAAAAATGTCATTGACTCACATCCCTTTATTTTTTAAATATTAAAAAAATTTTTTTGACTCATTTTTAAATAAAATCTTTGACATTAGAAAAAAATATTTTTTTAAATTAACCCTTCCTTTTTTAAATTCCAGCTAATTTAAATATGGCATTTGACGTAGCAGAACGTAAACTTGATATTGCACGTTTACTTGATGCTGAAGATGTAAATGTTTCTTGTCCAGATGAGAAAAGCATAATAACTTATGTTTCCCTTTTCTATCATTGTTTTGCTAAAGAAAAAAGTGAATTAACTGGGGCTAGAAGAGTTGCTAAAGTTGTTGGAGAATTGGTTAAATTAGATTGTTTACAAGAAGATTATGAACAATTAGCTGCTGATTTACTTTGTTGGATACATCAAAAAATAAATGAATTGGCTGACAGACATTTCCCTAATTTATTAATTTCTTTACGGGAATTACTGGCAACATTTAGTTGTTTTAGAAAAGAAGAAAAACCTCCAAAATATAAAGAGAAAGGAGAAGTTTGTTTGTTTTTTAATCTTACTGTTATTAAATATCAACGACTTTCTTGTCATTTACCCTAGGAATATGTTGAAAAATATTAACATAATCCTTCTAAATAATCCAAAAAATCTCTCAAAATTTAAAGTTGGAAGCTCTTTTCTTTGCCATTCAAACAAAAAGGAATGCCGGTCGTCGAAAGTCATATATTCCACCAGAAGGACTTGGATTACATGATTTAGAAAGTGCTTGGACAGAATTGGAAAAAGCTGAACATGCACGTCAAGGTGCTTTAATAAGTGAATTACAACGACAGGAAAGGCTAGAACTTCGTGCCCAATTATTTCATAAAAAGGCGGATGTGAGGGATGCTTGGCTACGAGAAATGTACATATTTTTAATAAATTTTAAATTAATAATTTGGAGAATTTGAGAGGATAATAATTAGTTAAAAATTAAAAACAATATTTATTTTAGTGTTTTTGTTTAGCATTATTTACCCATTAAAATATCCCCACAAATATTTTTTTTACCTCAAAAATACATATTTGTTTAGGCAATCAGTACTTAACCAATTCGAATGTCAACAAAATTCACAAACCGTAGAGGCTGGACTTCGCCTTTTAAGAAATATTTCAGCAGAATATTTACCAAAAACTTCTCGTTTTGCTTTACTTTCAGAATTAAGTATTGAATTACAAAGAGAAAATTTCCATGATTTTGAAAATATTCGTTCAAGAGAGAGAGATATACTTTCACGTTGGAATAAATTTTTGGCAATATTGGAACAGAAAGAACAAGAATTGGGACGTTTAGGGGAATTGAGTAATTTATTGGGTGAATTGGAGGAATTGAAGGAAGAATTGACACAAATGGGGAAAGAATTGGGTAGACAACGGACACAGGTTGTTAATTAGACTTTGAGAATGGAGGGGGAGGGGGGGGGGTAGTTAATTCTAACTATTTCATTTTAAAAATATCTTTAATTTAATTTAAAAAAATTTTTAAAGGAAAATTGTAAACATTTGGCAGCAGTAGATGAATTATTGAGAAGATTAGAATTAACAGAAAATAATATTCGAGCTAAAAAGGAATGGTTAATACAATTAAATAAAAAAGCTAAACAATATGTTAAAACTGTTTCTTCAAATATTGGAGGAAATGAACAACTTTCTGAATGTTTAAATGAAAGAGAACAACAATTAAATTGTTTGTTTTTTTAATTAAGAATTTGAAAACATTTTTTTTAAAAGATTTACAATCAGAATTAAAACAACACAGAGCAGCATTGCAAAGAGCTAAAGAATTCTTTCAAGTAAATATTTAAAAAAATAAATTTAAATATTTTTTAAAATTAGTTTATTGCCCATTGGGAAGAACAAATAAGTTGGTTAACTGACCGTTTATCTCTCTGTCAATCACTGTCAACTACTCGAGACCTTTCGAATATTAGCCAATCTCAGAGAGCACATAAAAGTTTGGAAGCTGAAATGGCTGGGCAATGGGAACGGACAAAACTTTTAATTGGGGATGGAGAACGTTTAAATCAACCAGAAGAGGTACATGGACGGTTGGAAATACTTCAAAAGTGAGTAAAGGAGTAATTTTTGAGTTAAAATATCAGTTAATTATTGAATTAACTACAGAATTATTAAATTAATTAAATTTATTTTTTAATTAATTTTCAGACAATGGGAGGAATTGCGAATCGCAAACATTGCTTTACTTTCATGGATTAGAGAGGCAGATAGATTACAACAATATTTTCAAGATGCTAATGAAACAGAAAGTTGGATAAGGGAAAGAATGCCCTTAGCTCAATCAGAAGATTTTGGGCGTGATATTGTGATATCAATTTTAAAATATTTTATTTAAATTTATTATTATTAAAGAGTACAGCAGAATGTCTTTGGAGAAGGCATCGTCAATTGGAAAAAGAAATATTTAGTTATGAAACAGAAATTAAAAGATTGGATATATTAAGTAATGAATTGGCACAAACAAAATTTATTTTGGATGAAAATATTGTTGAGGGGGAGGAATTGGAGGATGATAATGAGGAAGGGGAAAATAATGAGGAGGTGGAGGAGGAAATTGTTGTCCCTAAAATTGTGGTAATTAATTAATTGTTTTTGAAATTAAAAAAAGAATGTCTTTTTTAAAGGCTTTATATGCTTATAATGGAAATAATAAAAATAAAAATGGGGGAAATATTTTTGTTAGCCGAGGAGAGGAATTAGCATTATTAGATAATTCTAATAAAGATTGGTGGAGAGTATTGACACAAACAGGGATGGAAGGATATTTGCCGTCAAATTATTGTGAATTAATAAATGATGAAAATGTAAAAAAGAAAAGATATTAAAAAAAATATTTTTTTCAATTTTAAAGGTAACAATAATGCAACCAAAAATAAATAAAAAAAGAAAAGAAAAAATAATTTCATTGGATGGCCCTTCAGCAATAGAAAAAAGACAAAATAAATTAAATTCTGATTATCAAAATATTATTTGTTTATCTAAAAAAAGGGGAAAAGCTTTGGGAGAAGCAACTAATTTATTTAAATTTTTTGCTGAATGTACTGATTTTGAACAATGGACAAAAATTACAGGGCAGAATTTACAAGAACCTTTAAATCAAGAACATTTACCTGCTCTTCAGAAAAAGTTTCAGGTAAAATTTTTTGAAATTTATATGAAGAGAGAGGCTATTGGGGAGGGGGGGGGGTTTCTTGGAGTTTTCAGTACTGGAATAATATATTTAATAATATATTAATTAATTTTCAGAAAATTCGAGATGAAATTACCAATCAAGGTCAAACCCAATTTAATCAACTTACCGAAATGTCCGAAAAATTAATTACTCAATGCACTAATATTAATTCTTATTCACATTCTCGTGTTGGAGAAGTTTTAAAAAGAAAAGAAAGAATAATTAATCTTTGGTCACAACTTCAATCCCTTTTAAACAAAAAAATAAAAAAACTAGAATTTGCCCAAAATCTGTGGAATTTTAATGAAAAATGTGCAGATACAAAGGAATGGTTACAAGAGAAAGGAGAACAAATGCCAGCACAACCGTCTTCTTCAAAGACACCAACTTCTGATTTAAAAGCTTTACAAGCTGTTCAAAGGAAGTTACAAAATATTGAAAGAGTAAATTAAATAATTAATCTAAAACTAAATAAAATTTTAATTTAAGGATCTTCGTCCTCTCGCAGATAGAATGAATACTTTATGGACACAAGCAAACCAAATTTCTGAGGAACAACCAGAACGAGCTGAAGAAGTTCAAGCAAAAGTACAGTCACTCGAGGCAATGCATGCTGAATTATTGGCACAGGCACGTGCCTGGATTGAACAGGCAGAGCGTTCTCAAGGGCAACAAATGTTTGAGCAGGCAGCTAGGTAAAAAAAGAATAAGCACGTCATTTATATTTTGGAATTATGTATTTACATTTTTACCGCATGATATTTTCGGTCTAGTTTATGTCACAAAATTCTGCAATAATATCAGAAAATCATAACGAGCTTAATAAGGATTACTTTAAGCAAATGTTATTTACAAGAAAGAGTAAGCATTCCCCTATAATGTCCAGGACTCGAGTGTACTCAGCCGACACATATCTAAAAGTCAACTGTATTGACATGAGTAGAGTAACCTCCTCTGTGCTCTCTAACTTGACATTTTCTGATCAAAATATAAAATTTAATTATTCTATTAATATTGCTTTCAATATTTCTAAAAATATTCTTAAGTGAACTTCTCGACTGGACACAGAAATGTTCGGAGCAAATAAATTTATCCTGTGATCTCTTTCCTTCCTCATCTTCCTCTTTGCCTTCAGCATCAGAAGAAGCATCCGAAGAAGCATTAAGAAGGAATTCAGAATTGCGTGAACAGATAGATGGAAAACAATTTGAATTTGGTTATGTTGAAGAATTAGGACAACGTTTAATTGAAAAAGGATATCCAAAAGAACAAGTAAAACAAAAATTGGAAGAATTGGAGTATGCAAGGAATGAATTGGAATTTCAATGGCAAAAGAGAGAAGTATGTAAAAATAATTGTGGAAATATTTTTATTAGAATTAATTTTCTAATAAAATATTTAAATTTAAAGGATGATTGTCGACGATTATTGGAATTACAAGCATTTACGCGGGAGGCTGACCGTATTAATTCTTTGAATAGAGGACAGCTAGCTTTTCTTGATCTTTCTTTATCTCAAGCTGATTCTGTAGAGAAAGTGCAAAATTTATTGAAAGGACAGGCTGAATTTGAAGCTAAACTGTCAGCACAAGAAGTAAAAATAATTTTCTAAGATATTTTTAAACTTTTGTTAATAGAAACACTGAAGTGTTTATAATGTCGCTATTAACAAGATTTGATTAATTATTTTATCTTTCTAAAAAAAAGGAGAGAGTTCTACTTTTCGTTGCTTCTGCTGACCGTTTGATACGCACCGGACACTCACAATCCACACAAATTGAAAATCAAAAACGAGAAGTAATTTATGGACACCAAGGAGTTATTGAAAGAACCCAAATGAGAAGAGCACAGTTAGAGAGAGGATTAGCACTTGTAAATTAAATAATTAAATGACAATTATATAACAAATTTTTTAGGAAGGATTGCGAAGAGATGCTAGTGAATTGGGTCTTTGGATTAATGAGAAAAGGCATCAAATGGAACAACAAAATGAAGTTGGAGGGGTTGGAGGCCTTAATTGGGCACAGACAAGACATCAAGCCTTTATGTTAGAATTGCCAGCTAATCGAGCTGAACTTAGTAGACTTGCAAAAGTATGTGGATTGTTACTTAAAATTGTCTATTCACTCTTCCAAAACTTTCAGTCAGGCGCAGCACTAATCCGCGATGGTGTTGCTGAAAGAGAAGCAGTCGCTAATGTCTTAGAGCCTTTAGAAGTTGAATGGACTAAACTTGAAACGCTTGCACGACAGAGAGGTGATCTACTAGGCCAAGAAGAACAAAAAGTTGCTCTTCTTGAAGAAATAAATGAAATTAATGGAAAAATTGAAGAAATCGAAAATCGTTTGTCAGATAAAACGAAAGGGAAAGATTTGCGTGGTGTTAAACAATTAATTAATAAAAATGTACAAACTGGACAGGAAATTCAGGCAAAAAACAAAGAAAAAGGAATAAATTAATTTTTGAATTTTTTCAGTTATTAGAGGATCGTTTAAATGAAATTTCTAAAAAAGTAAATAAAATGAATGAAAAGAAACATTTTGCTGTGCCTGAACTTATTGAAAAAGTGGAGGAACTTGTTGTTCGCTTTAACTCGTTACATGAACCATTGGAAAGAATGAGGGCAGAATTAGATGAGTCAATGGGTTGGCATCAATTAGCTTTTGATGTCGATGTTGAATTACAGTGGATTGGGGTAAATATTATATTTTTTATTTTAAAAAATATTTAAAATTATAATTGGTAGGGATCAAGGGTGTTATTATTTTATTTTTTTTGTCCGGAAAACAAAATCGGATTACAATTTTTACTAAATAATTTATATTTTCTTAAGGAAAAAAAATTAATTGTGGAATGTCCACAACTTGGCCATTCATTAACAGAAGTTCAACAATTAGTAAAACGCCACGAACAATTAACTGCTGAACTAGATTGTCATCAACCTCTAGTTACCGAATTATTAAATAAAGGAAGAAAATTGGCAAATGCTGATGGAATAAATAAACATTCATGTCATCAGGAGATTGATGCAAAATGTTTGGAATTATCCAATTCTTGGAAAAAATTAATGGAAATATCAGCAAGACGCCGAAACTTGTTGAATAGGGCCCTTTCAAGGTGAATTTCTCTCAATTAATTATTTTGACAAAAAAAACTTGTTTACTTTAAGAGAACAATTATTATTTGAATTGTCTGAAGCTGAGAATTGGCTATCTGAGAAAAATAAACAGCTTGAAACACGTGAAGAAGGGGCTATCTCTGAAGGTCATGGGGGTGCTCAAACATTGCTTGCTTGGCTCAAGACTCTGCAAAATGAATTAGGGCCATTTCATTCAAGCCTTGCTGAATTAAAAAATAAATGTAGTAATCTAAAAGATTTTGGAATTTTTGAGGAAGAAATTGCTGAGAGAGAAGTAAAAGATAATAATTTTAAATTAAAAAAATATTCTTTCTTTTAAAGTCAAAAATAGAAGAACAAGCAAATGTTTTAGAAGAACGTGCCCGTTTATCCGCTGAAAATGCTAATGCTCTTGTTAATCTTCATAATTTGGAAGAAGAACAACAAGAATTAGAACAATGGTTAGAACAAAAATCAAAAATTTTATCTCAAGATGATTGTGGTGCTAATTTGGAACAGTGGGAAAAATTAAGAACAAAATTTAATGATGAACGTCAACAAATACGGACTTTAGGTCACGAGAGATTAGAAAAGTGGGAGAATGAGGCAAATATTTTGTCAAAAAAGGTGCCGGAACATGCGAGGTATTTGTGAGCAAATAAAAGTTATATAATTAAGACGAGTTCAATTCCTTTCCTCAATGAAAAGTAATTCCAAGAATTTCTCTCAAATTATCATTTAATCGAAATAACACATTTCCTAGCCTAAATACACTCCAGCAGATAAGGTTCGAGACCAAAATTTCCTTTCCGCCACGTCGGCTGATTTTGGGTCTCTTCTTCTGTTATTTCCAAGTATCACCCAACCTTTAATTATTTAATTGAAATATTTACATCTCTGTAAATATTTAATTTTACTTTTATCTCCATTTTTTAAACAGAGAAGTATTGCAAGGACAAAATCGTCTCCATACACTTTGGGAACTAATTAATGAATATATAGAACAACGAGAGGCATCTTTAGCACAAGCAGGATTATTATACCGATTTTTGCGTGATTCTGTTTGTTTCCCTTTAATTTAAAAAATAATTTATTTATTTAAAAATTATAAAGGAAGAATTAGAAGAAAGAGTGAGAGAAAAAGAACTGACTTTACCTAAAGATTTAGGTCGGGATGCAAAACAATCTTATGGACTTATTTTAAAACATGAAGTTTTTGAAAATGAATTGGCACAGTTAAAAGAGGAAATTGAGGTAAAAATACTTGTGGATGAGTGAAACTTTTATGAGAATTTTTGTTTCAATAGTTTTTACTTTTCATACTAATATTATTAGGTATTGGTTGCATCTGGAGCACAATTTGAACAGTTAGACGAGAATATTCAATTATGCCCTCTTATCGATAGTTGGACTCGACTACAAGAAGCAAGTCTACTTCGAGGAGAACAATTGATGGCTACATATGAAACACATAAATTTACCTCGCAAGTACGCGATCTTCTACAATGGACACAGTCTGCACTTGTGGAAATGGGTGGAGAACAAACGGTAAATGAAAATACTAACCTTATTTATGTGGATAGGATATGATGTTTGGGATATTTTTATTTTAAAATTTTTAATAACAAAATAAAATATTAGATCAGAGACTTGCAAACAGCTGAATGGCTAGCAGAAGAACATCGACGCTTGCGGGCAGAATTGGAAGGTCGAGAGCAAGAACGTTCTTTGCTTGTTAATATTGGACGTGATCTAGAACGTGCTGGTCATTGTCCTTCTGAACTTGTACATCAACGTTTATCTGGTTTGGATCAAGCATTTGCTGCTGTGAGGAAGGAATGGGCATTGAAGGCAGATTGGCTAGAACAGGCAATTAATACATAAAAATAAATTACTTTTAATTACAAATTTAAAGGCTGTTCAATGGCATGCCTTTCAACGTGAAGCCCTTCAAATCCTTGCACAAATCCAAGCGCGTGATAGGTCCTTAGATGCGCTTGAACAACAAAGAGAATTCGATAATAAACATTTAAAAGAATATAAACAAGAAAAATCACCTGCACATCGCAAAAGAGAATTAAATACACTTATTTGTGTTTTGGCTACTTTGGAGGAAAGAATTTCTAGATTGGGGGAAATGGCAGAAACTTTAGAAGAACAAGGACATGCTGAAACTGAACAAATTCAAGCATTGACACGACGGGTGACAAATGCACTTAACGAGTTGGGAGAACACACTAACTATGTTAAAAGGTGAATAGAAAATTTAAATTTTTTGGCCATATTGAAATGAGTGTACCTTTAATTTAGGCATTTTAAATATAAAAGATATGCTTTATATGCCGGTAAAATATCTAAAATTTTTCGTAGATCTTTGGATGCAGCCGAAGAATTGGCCCAATTTGAAGCAGAATTGGCTGATCTTACTGACTGGCTGATAGAAAAAGAAGAAAGTTTTAGAGCTCAACAAGTTGCTTCATTTAATTCTTCTAATGATAGCGGCCAATTAACAAACAAATTGGAACGTTTAAAAAGGCAACAAGCTCTTCAAAGTGAATTGACCGCAAATACGCCTCGGCTAGAAAGATTACTTGCACACAAAGAGAAGATATATGTTCGGCAACGAGGTGCTGATGTGAAACAAGCTGTGAGTTTAAGCTAATAATTAGAATGAAAGAAATCCTTTCTTTCAGATAACTCGCTGTGAAGAGTTTTTCCAACGTTGGAATCAGCTTTTGGCCCAGTCTAAAGCATTGGACGCGGCATTAGAAGAAGCACGTGATTTACTCGAATTGGAGCAATTAGCTGACCGTTTTGGGGCATATCTCCGAGACAAAGAAGCTTTAGTGCAAGCAGAGGAATTGGGAGGTGATCTTGAACATTGTCAAACTTTGTATGTTTTCTTTGAATAGAAATTTGTTTAAATAATAAATTTCAGAATAAATAGATTAAAAGAAGCTCATAAAGGAGTAGACGAGAAAACATTAATTGATGCAAATACACTTGCAAAAAATAGATTAATTAATTCAAAAGGAGGAAATACAGAAGCATCTCATATTATTGACAGATTAAACGATATTACTAAAGGGTAAGGAAAGGATTCTATTATTTATTTGTTAAAATATTTATTGTCTATCAATCAAAAATTAGCTGTTCTTAATTATCTAAAAACTTAGCCACTCTTTAAAATTAACTACCTATCACCGTTTATAAGGGATTTTTTTATCTCTAAATTTCTGTGAACTGAGTTACAGTACTCAATGTGTTTTAAATTTTATTATTTGCTCGTCAAATAATAATTTATTTAATTTCAAGCTGGGAGCATCTTTCTGGACGTATTCACAATTATCAGGCTTTACTTGAAGCGGCATTAGAAGTTCATCGTTTTAATAGGGATGTAGATGAAACTAACCAACGTATTGGAGAGAAGACTTCTCTTCTTTCTGCTGAACAACAGGCTAAAGATTTGGCTGGAGTTGAACGTTTATTAAGAGCACAGGATCAGGCTGAAAGGTGGAAATTGACTTTTAATTTTTTTATAAAACTTCCAATTTGAAGAGATATGTCTGCTATTCACCGGAAATTGAATGAACATGATGAACAGGCAAAATTACTTTTGGCACAGGATCCACCTTTACGTGAAACGGTTGTAAATAATTTTTCTATAAATTTTTATAATTTAAATTATTAAAGGTGTTGGACTCTCTACGAAAGTTAGAACTTAGTTGGCAACGTTTGGCAGAATTAGCACATGCTAGGCGTCAAGCTCTTCAACAGACTTATTCTCTGCATCATTTTCTTGATTTGGTTAGGCGTACTGATCAATGGGCACAATCAATTAGGACAAAAATGAGTGGACAAGCACCTTCAAGAAATGTAGCTGAGGCTGAAAGAGCACTTCAAAGACATGCTGAAAGACTTGCAGAAATTGGGGCTAGAGATGAGGAATTTCGAGTTTGAGAATAAATTATTAATCAAAATCTCTTTGATTTTAAGTCTCTTCGAGAGTTTTGTCAACGTTTGTTACAAGAACAGCCAGAACATCGAAGTGATCTTCAACGAGCTCAACGTCGACTTCAAACACTTGAACATCAAACACGCCAATACTGGGAAAGGGAACAACAAACGTTGGAACGGTCTCTTCTTTTCCAAAGAATTCTTTCACAAATTGGTCAAATTGATTGTTGGCTAGCTGGAAAACAAGCACAATTGGATGGTTTAACGGCTGGGGAAAGTCCAGAATCTGCTGAGGCTGCTATTAGAGAACTTGGTTAGAAAAATGTTTTTTAAGAGTTAGAATGTTTGAATGAATTTAAGCGTGGCGCGAACTTTGCGGACCCGAAATTTGCGGAACGAAAGTTGCGGACCCGAAGGTTGCGGACACGAAGTTTGCGGACCTGATTTTTGCGGAACCAAGATTTTAGGACCGACACTTGAGTAAAATTGAAAAATTAAAAATTTTATTTTTCGATGATTCCGGCAAAGTTTACCATGATCCGTACCGGACTCATGATTTTTTCTTGAATTTTCAAAATTTTTATCAATTTGTTATCTTAAAATTATTTCATGATTTGAATAATCGAGAAAATTCCTTAAAAAATCATTCATATGGCCATTTCATAAGGCCATGTTGCCTGAATTTATCTTAATTAACGCCGCAGGCGAAAATTTTTGAAATTTCCGAGGTTTTGAAATTTTGAAATTTTCTTTCATCCTCCAACAAATGCATAATATTTAGGTCATTTTATTGTTGCTTTGGAATCTCAACTTGCCGAACGTTTTTCATGGATTGATTCAACTAATGAAACTTTGGATTCGATAGCGAATGATCACCCAGAAGGAAGTAGAGTAAAAGAACGAGTTGAGGAAATTAAAGAAAAATGTAATGAACTACAGAAACAGACAGAAACAAAACAACGGTAAAATTTTAAATTAAAAATCCTTTAAAATAAAATTTTAATTATTAATAATTTAAGTAATTTAAATGCTAATAAACATTTGGCACAATTTTTACGCGAATGTGCTGAATTAATAACTTGGATGAATGCAAAACTACAACTTGCTATGGATGATGGTTATTTGGATGCTACGGCCTTACGTCTTAAATTAAAGAAACATTTGGCATTTGATGCTGAATTAAGAGCTAGTGAAGAAAGAATTGGGCGTTTACAAAAACGTGGGCAATGTTTGTTGAATGAAGAATTTGTTAAAGATTCTAATATTGGGGATAAAGAAGAGAGTGAAGAGAGAGTACGTGCTCAGCTTGAAGAATTAAATAATGGATGGACTGAACTTTTGGAAAAATCCGCAGAGAAGGTTGGGAAGGAAATTTAATTTAAGGAAATATGATTTAAAAAACTATTTACAGACAGACCGATTGAAAAGTGCCTATGAGAGTTATCAATTAGGACGTCGCATTTCTGAATCAGAATGTTGGTTGGAACGTGTTGAGGCCATAATAAGCTCAGAGGATCACGGGATAGATTGCAGCAGTGCTGAACAATTATTAGAGCAATTTGAAAATCTTCGAACGGAAATTAGAGCAAAAGGGTTATTAATAGAAGAATTATTCCAAGAAGCATATAAATTAATGGAAAAGGCTGGTGAAGATTTGGGGACAAACAGACAGATTTTATATGAGAGAGCGGAAGCACTTCGAGGCCGTTGGAATGCTGTAGACGAACCATGTCAAATTAGATCTCAGAATTTGGTAACTCCTTGAATAATTTTACATTCATTAAATTGAAAAAACCATTTCTTTTAGTCAGAAGCAGTAAGTTTTTATCATTGGGCTGATCAAACAGATGAACAAATTGAGTGGCTTGAATCTCGCGTTAGATTATTAGAAAGTTCTGATTATGGCCGTTCTCTCCATTCGGCACAATCCCTTCTACAAAAACATCAGATCCTTGAAAAAGAATTTTCTGTTCGTCAACCAACTTTTGATCAATTAATAACAACTGGTGAAAAAATGCTTTTGGTAGAAATGAAGAATAATAATTTAAATGAAGAAAATAAAAAAGAGAAAAAGCAAAAAGGTCTTAAATCTGGGGAATTAACTGAAAGATTAGACAAATTACATGATTTGATTACACTCTTCCGTGCTTTAGCTTCTGTGAGAGAACAACGTTTAAACGAATCTCTTCTTTCTCAAGAATTTTATGCAGAGGCTGCAGAAGCTGAACATTGGATGAAGGAAAGGTGGGAAAAATTTTTAATGGAATAAATAAATTATTTAAATATAATCTTCCTGGGCATTTAATTATTAGGTATGCATGTGTATTATCGACCAAGAGGACCGATCTCGAAATCTCATAGTTTTCCGTTCTCGACTCGAAAATCTCGGAAAATAATCTTGACTCTATGAATATTTATTTAAACATATTTCAGATTAATTCCTCCAACAAATATTCAATTAGCTTCTCATCACCAAGAATCTGGAAGACAAGCAGAGGCACAATTACGTCGTTGTTTGGCTCTTGAAAAAGAAATATCAACATTCGAAGACCAACTTAAAAAACTTGGAGAGAAATGTGAAAGGATGGTTTCTGCTGATCATTTTGATTTAACTAGTTTACAAACAAGATATGGACAATTACTAGAATTATTTTCTCAACTTTCGTTGCAATGTCAACAGAGGAAAACACAAACAAGTAGGGAAAGTTTTTTCTTTGAATTTTTGAATAAAATTAATTTTTAAGCGAATGCAATTCGTTATTTTGGTTTTGTTCGTAGAGCTGATGAACTTCTTCAATGGTTACGCGAAAGATTATCACTTGCTGAACGTGAAGATTATGGGCAAGATTTGGAAGAATGTGAATTACTTGCACAACAATTTCATGAAGTTGTGAGGGAATTGGCTTCTGCTGGAGAGAGAGTTGCACAAGTATTGACATTAAAAGGTAAACAAAAAAATTTTTAAGAAAAAATGTCAGCAAGAAATTTGAAATATTTTTAAATAAAAATAAAATTTTCTTTCCTTCCATTTAGATTCTAATTCAAATTTAGAAGAAATTTAATTTTAAAAAGTAATTTTCAGAAGAATTACTTCGTGAAAAACATCCAAATGCTGGTTCAATTCGCGCAAAGGGTCAAGATGTTCAACAACTTTGGCATGAAGTGAATGAAGCTGCTAATGAACGACAGGTGTTTTTTTAGAGAAAATCATCTTAAATATTTAACAAAAAATATTTTTTGATCATTTTTCATTTAATTTTTTCTATAGCAAGCATTAATTGATGGAAAAAATATTCATTTATTTGATCAAAAAGCAGATGAATTATTAGAAAGATTAGCTGAAAAAGAGGCTTATTTGCTTGCTCAAAGTGAAGAACAATTTGGAGGAATTGATTTAGATCAAATGTTTGGACAAAGAGAAAGACATAATAATGAATTTATGCATTCCTTGGATGTTTTGAGTCGTCAAGTAATTTTTTTATTTTATTTTAACATCAAAAATTACCCAAAAATTTGCTTTAAGGTTTTGGAACTCTGCGCAGAAGCTGATCGAATTGTAGAAGTATTTCCCCGCACTTCTGAGCATTTAGAAGTCCGTCGTGGAGAACTTATTGAACAATTGAAGGATGTAAGAGAAGGAGCTGATCGTCAAGCAGAAAGATTAGCACAATCACAAGCTAATCATCAATACTTTCAGGCAAATTAAAGTTTAATGAAGAAAATTATAATTTTTCTTAGGAATTTCGTGAATTAATGGTTTGGGCTCGTCAAATGCATGCTTCAATAACTGGGGAACTTTTACCTAAAGAAGTAGCTGGATGTGAGGTAAAAAAGTTGCTTTTGTATGTTTAAATCAACAAATTATTTTTCAGGCTCTCGCCGCTAGACATGCCGAATTTCGGCGTGAAATTTCTTCAAAAGAATCAGAAAAACTTCATTTTATACAAAAAGGAGAACAATTATTATCACAAGGGCAGAATGCTTTGGTGAATGAGATTCGTTCTCGTATAACTACTTTAGAGGAAGTTTTCTCTGATTTGTTAAAAACTTGGCATCGGAGACAACAAGTGAGAGTTATTGAATATATATTCTCATTGTGATTTTTATTAGATCTATGAGGATAATGCTGATCTTCAACGTTGGTTGTCCTCTGCATCTGAATTGGAACGTTGGTTAACAGAGAGAGAACAATTGCTTGCTAAAGATTGGACTGGATTAGTTCAGGATGGACTAGAAGCTGTTGAAAATCAAATTAGAGTTTGAGAAAGAATTAAAATTTGTAATTATTTTTACTCACAATTTCAGCAATTTGATGACTTTCTTGCCACTCTCGATGCCCAAAGTCCTCAATTTGAAGCTTTGAAACGCCTTACTCGACTTGAACAAAATTGGGAACGTCTTAAAGGTCAGGAGGATCGTGAAAGAATTGTTTCTGTAAATGCCCAACTTCAACAACAGCAACAACAAAACCGAAGGGAAACACAACCAATTAGAACATTAGAAAAGAAGAAAATGCTACAGGAGAAAAGACAAGAAAGAGAACGCCGTAAAACACAGGTAGTTTTAGTAAAATTTAATTTTAATAATTTGTTTCTAGGAAATTTCATTAATGGGAAACTCTAATGGAGGAATTGGGCGTCATTCAACTACCGGACAGTCAATTCGTTCTTCAACTTCTGCACATTCTGGGGCTCAAATGTTGGGACAATTACAACAATTAGAGCCTGTCCAGTCTTTGGCAACTACTGCATTTAATTCCTCTCAAACACTCCCAAGAGCTAGGCAAAGAGCTGCTGTAGGTGCTACTTCCTCAGCATCTTCTTCTACATCAGTAGTTGTAGTTGAAGGACAGCAGAATATTGTGGTGAATTTAACTTTAACACTTTAATTTCCTTCCATTTATTTAGCCACCAGTTGCTTCTTCTCGCCTTTCTATCGAAATTTCGCAGCCATCATCTACACAACAACAACAAAATTTAACACCTTCCGCTCCTTTCCCTGTAGGTATGCGAGTACCTTCCACAGGTCGAACACCTGGATTTACAACACGTAGAACACAAAGTATTCGAAGAAGTCGTCAATGGGATGATTTAAGAACCGTTGATATTCACGGGTAAAAAAAAGGATATATTTTTCATTTGTTTTATTTTTTTCAGTTATTTGGATAGAAAACAAGAATTACAAGCAGGTGGAAAACGTGCAACTTTCCGTTCTTGGAAGAGCTATTATTCAATTTTGTGTGGACAACTTCTTTGCTTTTTTAAGGACGAACAACATTTTATGGAAAATATGGCAGCTGCAGCGCCTTTGGCATTACATGGATCGAATTCTGCACTTAATCCTGAATATATTAAAAAACGTTTTGTTTTCAAGTAAAATATTTTTTTAAATATTTTTGGGTTAATATTTCCCTTTTGTTCGACAGAAACATGATAAGTCCCTCGCAAGTACCCAACCTTGTAATCTAGATTCATTTCATGTCCACAAGTCCATTTACTTATTTTAATCTTTTTCTAAGGAACATTTTATCAATTTATTAGATTAAATACTGCTGATGGAGCTGAATTCCTTTTTGCTGCACCTGACCAGCTTAAAGCTCTTGAATGGGTTGATAAAATTAATTTTAGAGCAAAGTTAGATCCAGCTGATCAATTGCTTGCTTTTAGACCGGTTTGAAAAAACAATTATTTCTTTGTTTATTCATTTCATAATTTTTAGAGTACAAGTGAACCACTTGGAAATTCCCAATCAAAGCGACTTCCTTACTCCTCTACAACTGCAGATGTAATGTCTAGTTCGAGAAGTATGACATTAGAATCAAGGCCAAAGCCTAAAGAATTTAGTGGAAATGTTGCTAATACTTTCAAAGTGCCAAATGAAAATCAAAAAATGATTAAAAGTAAAAAATTAGAATTAAATTTAGTCAGAAATTCAGGGAATTTACTCTCTCTGGCCTTCTCTTACATATCAATTAATTTTATTTTTAAAGGCGCAACATTAGATCCACGTAAAATTAATGATGACAATAAACATACAAATTATTATTATTCTTCTAATAATAAACAAAAAAATGAAGAGAATGGACAAAATATAGTAGAACAACAACAATTTGCAAGTCGAATAAAAATTGGGGAGGAGGGTGATGAAGAAGAAAAAATTATTGTTGAAGAGGAAGATTTAGAAAATAGTCCAAATAATAATTGCCGAAATAATCAAAATGGGAATTCAAATATTTTTGAAGATAATATTTCTGTACGCAGTGGTGGAATCGGAGGAACATTTAGTGAGTAGAGAGTAAATAATAATTAAAAAATTTTTCAATAAATTTTAGAGAGAAGTTTAAATTTTAAAACAAATTTTTTATTGAAAAAAAATATTTTTATTTTTCTTAGAAAATAATTTTCTTCTAATAATAAACAAAACTCATAATCTTTCATAATATTTATTTTTCTTAGAAAATAAAAAAATTACAAGCGGTGCCTTTGCTTTTCTCCGACGTTCTTCAGCAGTTATTGGAGGAAAAAAATCTGGATGCGAAAATTCACTTGATTAATTATAAAAAAATACTCATAATCTTTCATAATATTTATTTGTATTATTTAGAATAATGAATATATTTACATTTATGTTTTTTATTTTTAAATTATTCTTAATATTTAAATTATTTTTTGTTTTTTTTTTGAAAAAATAAAATATTAATCAAATCTTTATTCAATTTGAGGTTCTATTAGGATATTTACAGTATTTTAAAGTCAAAAGAAAGTTTAAAAAATTTACATATATTAAAAAATTCTTTAATATTTTTAGTTGATTTACATCAAAATTCAAAATTAATTAATCAACATAAATTCTAAATAACGTAAATATTCAATAGCAGAATGTAATGTTTCAATTTTTGACATTTTTCTTTGTTGTTTTGTTTGAACATTTTTTCCATTATTATAAACAGTTTTTATCGGTAAAAGCTCTCTAACTTGTTGGAATGCTTTGTTAAATGCCTCAACACGTATACGCTCTCGACTTGCATGCAAACTACGATATTTTGGTGTTGATCTATTTAAATATTTTTTTTAATTAAATAAATTATAAAATAATTTATTTAAATTCCAAATTATTTAGAATAGTGAATGGTTAGTGAAGTTAATATAGGGTTTTTAAATATTTTTCTCTTAATGGATTTGACACTCGAAATTTTAATTATTCTAATTACCCTTTACTTTTTCTAAAATTAAAGTTCTTGATGAAACAATTTACCTTCGTAATCGTCTTCTTTCAGCTCTAGTTAAAGCTTTTATTTTTTGTTGTTCTGTTAAAGGTTTTTTCAAATCTGTTGGCATTTTAGAGGAAAATAATTTGGAAAAGAAATAAATTTAAATAAAAAGAATTTATTTTTATTTTATACCAATTTCCCAAAATTAATTTAATTTTCTTTTTTTCTCAACATTTTACAATATTTAAATAATAAAACCGAAGCTTTTCAGAAAATTTAATTATACCCAATAGAGCTATTTTATTGAAATATTGGGTAATTTAATTATTTTAATTTTTAAATAAAAATAATATTATTTTGAATAAGAATAAAATAAATATTAATTTAAATTTTAAACTTTAGAGAGACTACTTTTAATTAAATATATTTTTACAATTTTTATCCAAATATTTTCTAGCCAAATTCTTCAAAAAATAGTTAAGCAAAAACAATTAGTAAATAAATTTTTATAGTAACTGTTAAAATTGACAAATTTTAATATAAAAATTGTAAATAAATAAATATATTTTTTAAATAATTTTTAACGTTGAATAAATTCTTCTTTTCTTTCTTCATTTCTTAATTTATTTATTTTAAATGCAGGTTTTTGACAAATAAAAGGGGCTGCAACACGGCAACAACTAAATAAAATTAATTTAAAAAATTATTATTTTTTTAACAACCTTTGAATCCACTCTCCACTCAGACTATTCATTTTAATGCATTTCTTTCCAGGATTAAACAAAGGTTGAATACCTAAAATAAATAAATATTTATTTAAATAATTATTCTTTTTCCAACCATTTTGCCAGAAAGTAAAATAAAATGGAGTTCCGTCTGTCCACATATAATTATTTCCAAATTGTGCTGCACCTAGCCATATCAATCCACCAACTCTTCTCGCAATATCTTTTTTAATTTATTTAATTTTAGATAAAAAGTTGAAAATAAATATTCGTTTTTAGACTTTTTTAGACTAAAATTTTAATTCAAAATTCAATAAGTCTCCCTCCATCCCTCTTCTCCTCATCCCCTCCTTTTTTAATTAAAAATTTTTAAATTATTTACAAACTTTCCAAATATTTATTTTCTTTTATATTTTTAACAGATATTTGATGTCCTTGATTATATAAACAATTAATTTCTGCAATATTCCACCCAATTTTTTCATTAAATATTTTAATACATAAATGTCTTTCTGGCCAATATTCCCAATTATTTTCACAAAAATTATTTTCTTTTTCAGAAATTAAATATTCTTGGTTGTTATATTTTGAATTTTTAACAAAATTAAAAAATAAAAATAAAAATATTTTGTTTAAAAAATATTTTATTTGAATTGACATTTTGGAATTAAATATTATTAAAAATTAAATATATTTAGAATGATGATACTTTTCATTTTGAAAGTCCTTCTCTCGTCTCAATAAAAATTTGTGTAATTAATTAATTAATATTATTTTCTAGAAATTTTTTTCTTATTTTTTGCTGATTCGTTTAAATTAGACGTTTAACCGTTCTATGACCTTCCTTGCCTTTTAATTACTTTAATATTAAATATAAACTTCCGGCACATTTATTAAATTATTTTTAAAGAAGAAAAGATAAAAAGATTTTATTTTTATTATTTTTAAAATAAAAATAGCTTCTGCTTTAATTTTAAATATAACATAATAGGGATGTCGCCGAAAGATTTCATTTTGGTTTATCGGTAATTCTGTTAAAACGATAACTACTATATATCATAAAATTTTATAGGATACCAAAATATTTGTAGAGATCAGACTACACCTTACTAGAGTTTTACGGAATACGGACGAAAAAATTTTTCGTACCGGAATACTAAATATACCGCTGAGATTTATTTTAATTAATGCTGTCTCGTTTTCTAAATAAAAATTTTCTTTAATCGTGTTTGCAAATACAGCTGTTGTTTTATTTGAATAAACAAAGTTAAAAATTAAATTTTAATTTTATAAAAAAGTTTTTTTTTATAAAATTTTAATATGAAATTGATCTTCGTTTTTAAAAATATAATTTAGTAAAATTATTAAAGAATTTTTTCTTAATTTTTAAATAAGCCTTTTGTGCTAATATATAATTTTAAAATAAATTTATAAAAATTATTAAAACATAATTTAAGAATATTAAAAAAATTTTTTTTAACCGTAGAAGAAAATGTTTAAATAAATTAATTAATAAGTAGACTAATTAAAGGAGTTAATTTTTAAATTTAAATGAAAATGTATATGATTAAATATTTTATTTAAATTTAATAATTAAAATTAATTTTTAAAATTTATTTAAAATTTAAAATGAAATTATTTAAATTATTTTATATTTTTATATTTTTTTCTTTAATTTTTCAATTAAATGAAAGTAAAATATTTAATTTTGAAATTATTAAAGGAAGATATAAACGAAACTGTGGTAAGATATATATTTTATTAAATCCTTCCAGAAAATGAAAATTCTGTTTCTAGGCTCCTTTGATATAACTTTTGATATCGAGAGAATCATTTTAAATTAATTTTATTCTAAATTTGTTTAAAGAAATTTTTAAAATTAAAGATGATTTTTAAAGGATATATCTCAAATGATGCTATGAAAAAGGACGGAATACCTGGATATCTCAGCCATAGCATGGAACAAGCTAATCCCTATACTCCTCCAAAGAAGAATGATCAAGGAAAGTAATTTAAAGAAAAATATAAAAAAAATATTTTTAAATAAACAAATGAGAAAGAAGAATAATATATAAATTTTACTAAAAAATATTAAATAAAAATTAATTTAAATTTAAATTCCATCAATTTCGTCAAAACATTTCTCAAAAATTTGTAAAATCTTTATTTTAATTTTTCTTTCTTTTCAAATTCTTTATTATTTTTCTTCTCAAATTTAATTTTTAACTCTTCATAATTATTAACATATTTAAATATTTTTTCACAATTTTTTTCTTCATTTCCTTCTCCTTCTTTACATTTTTTTTTCTAAATTTCCCAAATTAATTATTTCCCCATTTTTCTCTTCAAAATAAATTTCATAATTATCATCAATTAATTCAATTTCATAAAAACATTCGTAATAATTTCCACTTTTAATCTTTATATTTCTACATTCTTTTGCTTTCATAATTTTCGGTAATTGGTTATCCAAATTTGGATTCATATTAATTTGATAAACTAAAAATATAAATAATTATTAAAATAAGTATAAATTAATTCTTTAAATTAAAAAAAAATATTTTTTTGGATTAAAATAAATTAATTTAAAAATTAAAAATAAATCCAAATTCCCCCTTTTTTAGATACTAAATTTTCAAGTTTCAATACAAAAAACGTCAGATTTTACAACATATTAAAAGCTTTTAATTATTACCAAAATAATTTGTCCAAAAATTAAAAAAAAACATTTTAAAAGTTCTATAAAAGTTGGCTTCTCGTGTTTAGTTAAATTATTATATTTTGGTTTTAAATAAATTGTTTCAACAGGACAGGGAGCAGTAATAATTAAAATACAAAACATTGCCCCTTTTAAATATTTAATTGGTAAAAGTTTCTTTTCCAAAATATTTTGACATTTTATTTTAATTTTTTCTTTAAAATTTCCAGCAAATCCACAAACAGATTTTGAAATTGAATTTATATTAAACAAATTATTTGATGAAGAAGAAGATTCTTTTCCATTTCAATCCCTTCATTCATTGTTGATTCAGAAACATTTTTACTTGGGGTTTCTTCTTTTTTTCCTTGTCCATCCTCTTTTGTTTTTGTAGAATTTATTCCTCTAACTAATAATTTTTATTTATTTTTTTAAATTAATTAATTACCTAACAAAAATCCAAAAATTAAAATAATTAATAATAAATTATTTCGAAAGAACATTTTTCTTATCAAAATAATTCTGTTAAAATACTAAATATATTTAATTGAGAGTTTTAATTATGCCTATAGATATTTTATTGAAAATTATATTTTTCAAAATTAATTAATTTCATAAATTAATTAAATAAGATGTCAAAATATATTTTTTTTAATTATTTTAAAATTTAAAAACTAAAAATAAAAAATATTTTTCAGAAATATTTTTAAATTATTTTTCAAATTTAAAGAAATCTTTTTCGATATACACGTTATATGTAAAAATTAAAAGTGCATTTTAAAATTAATTAACGCCGCCTTTTTAAAAGTAAAAAGGGCAACTTTAGCTTAAAGATTAATTTTTATATATTGCGAAAGAAAAATAATAAAAATAAATTTTTAAATAAATTATATTAATTAATTATTAATTTTTGAAGAGGT